GCCTGAAATCAATGTCAACAACGAGCCATATAAATGACGCATAACAAGTTGACTTTAAATACTTACTTGTGATATCGCAAAGGATTTCTTCCAACACAATTAAGAAGGAAGAATAAGATCAATTAATGAATTTAAAAAGCATTAATTAGCTGTACATTTTTATTAAGGTCCTTTGCTGTAAACGTGTTTACTAGACCTTACAATGACTGTATACACCATGGGTTGAGGGGGGGGGGGGTGACACCAACCCACAACCCTATTATGCGTTGTCTCGCCCGACCAATGCATCTGGTGAGTAGACCGGCTATCCGATTAGCCGTACCCAGCAAGGATGGCACCGCTTTGTCAGAACACGACACTCAAGGGCCGACAACCTACACACTCACAACAAAATGCTTAGCCGCAGTTATGACCCCTCGATGCATAAAACATTGCACGTAATTGGTGCTTATTTACATGACAAACATGGCTTAAGGGGGAGGGGGAGGGGATATTTTAGTGTCTCCGTCTGTATAAATCATTTATAAGGTAGAATTTGATTTATACGCCTTTTTATTAAATATACATACAGGAAAAAAATGTATGTTGTTACATGACCCACACCCCCACACCGTAATCGCTTCACTATATGTTACGTAAGTGAAAAATTTATGCGGCAACACACAGACCCTCCCCCCACCACCGCCCCTTCTCCTTCTACAGTATTCCCCAATAGCCTGAATGAACGTAATTATTTTTGTTATATATCTAGATCACCGTGGTTTATCTGATACAATATTTCAAAAAAATGTCCTATTCAACATACGCGTTGGTGTAGAATTTCCCTTAAGTTTATTAGCTGTGATTAAGTACCGTTTGTCGCCTCTATAGTTTTTATCAGCTGATTATGCTCATTGAGCTGGATACGCGATAATTATCGATTTGTTAATTGGCACGTAATTAAACCTTGTCGCCCGGTGTCGGAATTAAAAAGCGCGCAGGTCTATCAAGGCCGGATATCCGCCATTTTGATCTGTGTCAAGGTTGCCGTTATCATTCCGGTTATTTGAGAATTGTGGGAAATCGGTTTGGTTTAAGGATTGTGGGATAGCCAATTGATTATAGGCTTGGAAGTAACTGCTTTACTTTAGGAACGGCGATGTGTTGTGATCAGAGGCGTAGCGAAGGGGGGCAGGGGGGTACATATGTCCCCGGCGCCGACCTTAGGGGGCGCCAAAACGGGTTGGAAAAAACAAATTAAAATCTCATTGTATGTGCAGTTTTGCATTATAAATGTAAAAAAATATATGGGGGGGGGGGGGTTGCAAATGGAAAGTTTGAGGGGGGGGGGGTGCAAATTGAAAATTGAAGGTTTGTTCCCGAAGGGTGCGCCAAATTGAAAGTTTGTCCCCGGGCGCCGGGAAGGGTCGCTACGCCTCTGGTTGTGATCTACCCATTTTTATTTTATTTGGATACCTGGTATATTTTCAGGAATTGGGATACGTGCTACTTTATAAGGATTTGTAGATACCGGTTACATTTTAGGGTGTATTTACGACCAAAAGATTAGGAGAAATCGGACAATTTCACCGTACATCAAGCAAATATTTCATTCATTATCCATACTTTGCCCTTTAACTGTCTCTACTCTGCCCATACACTGCCCTGACACTGCCCTATATATTGCCCTTACACTGCCCTATATATTGCCCTTACACTGCCCCGACACTGCCCTATATATTGCCCTTACACTGCCCGTACAATGTTCAAATCCTGAGCACAACATGACAGAAACACAATGATGACCAAAAATGCTAAAACTATTTAAAGCCGACCTTTTGTGAAAATCAAACAAACAATCTCTGTCTGGTGTTCCTTTTTAGCTTTGTCTGCTGTATACAAATGAATACATAAATATTTATTTAATCCCCCACTTAAAAAAAGAATGCATACATATTTAACCCCCCCCCCCCCCCTCCAAAAAAAAAGAAATTTACATATCATACAAATGTATTTAAGCTCCACCCAAAATAATACAAAATTATTTATTTAAGCTCCCCCAAAAGAATACCAAAATATTTATTTAAGCTCCCCCCACCCCCAACTCTTTCAAGCGTTTAAAAAAAAATACTACCTTATATGGAGTGAGTCTGTGATTTGAGTTATATTACAATGGTTAGTTTGTAGCTTGAGTATTTAGAGCTCACCATTATCCCCCCCCCCCCACACTCACCTACAGGTGAAATAAAACCAACAGGTGAACTCACTGTATTGTTTCATCTCACGGAACACATTCCATTTTTTTATCAACCCCAATTAATCTTCCGACTAAAAGTGATTTCGGTTTACCGCCCTCTCCATCCCCCCCATCCCCCCCATCCCCCCCCCCCCCCCCCCATAGCCCGTGGCAATGTTTTGGCTATTACGGTACGGTCCATGGGACAGGTGAAGTAGATTCTGTTACCTCGACATATGTGGTCAGCACTTAACCCGGATTTGAACTTGGGACTTTTGGGTTAGTCAAGCGCTCTACTGCAAGGCCACGTCTGGCCATACGGCTATTAAGGTGTCATGTTATAAATATGGTGCGTGTGTTGTAAGCGTTTGCTACTAATATATATTAACAATTTAGTGCTTCGTGTTACGGAAGTGAAGAATGTCTGGTCGAAGAATATATATTTATATATTTTTTTAACAACCTCGCTAAACTTTTTACAGAAATGTTGAAAAGAAAAAGACGTTGGTTGTCTATCGCCATGTTGTTGGGAGGGGGGGGGGGGGGGGAGATGGTAGGGAAGGGGTGGGGGATCAGATAGGAATGACAGAGACGGCTTGTCTTACAGAAATAGCCTGTCTGTCTTCTGATAGCTGTCTGTGTTTGGGCTTGATGTAGGGGTGGTGGGGGTCTTAGATTAATTTTTTTTTTACTGGCTGGTTTTTTACCTGTAGAGTCTAGCTGTTGTTGTTGTTTTTTTTTAACGAAAATATTTTTATAAAACTACCGGTGTGCTCGAAATTCCGTCTGTTTCATTCACATTTTTACAGCTGGTCCCCTTTCCTCCAATGGAATGTATACTTCTTGTTATAATTATATCACGACAGTCGTCGAGACTAACGGAATACATCAGAGGTTTTCAAACTGGGAGGTTCGCGTACATGGATAAAGTTTTGGACACCGCCGTAATATAGCAAGGGACACATCCGCATTACATTATGTCCCCTATACATTATATCCCCTAGACCAGGGGTCTCCAAACTTTCCAGTCCGAGGGCCACATTACCTATCAAATTATAGTTCGGGGGCCAGTTTCTTCCAGGTATGTCTGGGCAAAGTTCCTCGGCCATCACTAACAAACGTTTTTTCCGTGGACAAAAAGATCTCCGCGGGCCGGATGAGAGGACATCGCGGGCCGCAGTTTGTAGACCCCTGCCCTAGACGTACTTGTTTAAAAAATTCACTGAATATATTTTCTTAATTTTTTTTTCTTGGACAAGTTTGTAATTGCATAGATCTAATTGAGCTTTCAGTCAAGCGAAAAATGTATGGGTGAAAGAAAACATCAATTGGGTAATCATAATAAATGACGTTTCAGCTTCATTGCTTTCGTCAGAATTAATCACAATAAAATAACAACAAATAAAATAAAATGCAAACAACGATAACCAAGACAATGCAATTAATATTTATTTTGATGAAAACATAACGAAGACAATCATTGTAAAATTTAATTGGCGTATTCCTCTTATGTAATTAGTGTATTTTGACGTTTAATTTGCAAATCAAGAGACACAAATTTCTTCTCATAATTCTCCTTAATGTGACTTCAACATTTCTTAGTGAGATCAGCTCGTAACATTGACGTACGGAGCTACTGTGTAGATTAGACAAGGATATACTTGACAGATGTATTAGTGCAACAAAGTTACAGGCTAATTTGTTAAAACAACATAGCGCTGTAGCCTTTACTTGACGAATGTTAGCACTTGCATATTTGTTAAACGTAGAGTTATAGAAATGGTGGTTTTTGTTTTTTTTTTAATTTAATTTAATTTACTTTGAGTTGGGGGCTTATTTCACCTGCTTGTGATTGTGCCACCTAGACTAAACTAAGAATTATTTCATTCTCGAATGCTAGCATGCGTGGGACAACCATGACATGACAACTTGGAAATGTACTAACTACGCACTTACACCATGATCCCTCCTCCCCCTCCCAACACTATCTATACCCCCCCCCACTTACTTGTTAAGTACAATCTGAGTTCTTATTTCACTGTACATTCTCTTCTCACTATGGCTCATTACGTGTGTTACTCTCCTCCTACTTACCTCTTTCCCCCCACCCCACCCCCCACCCCATATCACACCCCACTGTCTCAGTGTGTCTGCTTCTTGTTGCCTTGATTAGTTGTAAGTGGATCATCCAGGGAGAGAATTGCTTCACCTTATGTACTGAGTTATCCCTGCTTATTTAATCCATGGAGAGAATCCGCTAACCTGAGTTATCTCCCTTCATTTAATCTAAGGAGAATTTTATGCTTTAACCTTATGTACAGAGTTTTCGCCCCTGAATTCATCCAGGGAGAAAATTCGTATATTATGTTTATACCCCCTCAGAAATCGAGGCGTTTATTATCTCCCTTCAGCTCATATTGGAGGAGAATTCGTTTATCTTATGTACTGAGTTATATTCCTTAATTCATCCTGGGAGATAATTTGTTGAGTTTACTTACTGTGTTATCTCCCCTCACATGGCGAGAATTCATTAACCGTTAACCTTTTAATGTACTGAGTTGTATTCCTTAGTTCATCCAGGGAGATAATTTGTTGAGTTTACTGGCTGTGTTATCTCCCCTCACATGGAGAGAATTCATTAACCGTTAACCTTTTAATGTACTGAGTTGTATTCCTTAGTTCATCCAGGGAGAGAATTCGTTAACCTTAGAAACTAAGTTATCTCCCCTAAATTCATCAAGGGAGATAATGCTTTGAGCTAACTGACTGTTGTATCTCCCCTCAGCTGGCCAGTGAGATGCTCCGCCTGTTTGACCCAACCCTTGAACCCTGCACTGAACCACCCGAGGAACCCCTGAACCTGATCCCCATGTACCGCAACCCCAAGGTGGTCTCTGCCTACCTGCCTGGTGAGTACTACGTGTAGGACAGGCATTGTGTGTTTGTATGTATGTGTGTGTATGTTTACGTGTATATATATGGATACATACGTTAAGGACAGGCATTGTGTGTATGTATGTATGTTTGCGTGTGTATGTTTGCATGTATGTATGTATGTGGATACATGCCTGTAGGACAGGTACTGTGTGTATGTGTATGTATGTATGTGTATAAGTATATATGTTTATGTGTATGTGTATATGTTTTTATGAGTATGCATGCATGTGTATTTGTTTATGTATATATGTATGTCTGAATATATGTATTTATGTATGTGTGTACCAATGTATATTTATGTAAGTGTATGTATGGGTGTATGTATGTGTTTATATATATATATATATATGTATACATAATATGTATGTATGTGTTATGTATGTGTATGCAAGTGCATGTATGTATATGTAGATGTATGTATGTTTGTATAAGTATGTATCAGTATGTATGTGTAAGCATGTATGCATGTGTCTGTATGTGTGTATGTGTACGTGTACATATGTATGTGCATGTATGTGTGCATGTGTATGTTTTATTGAATCGAGTGTGGTATTTTTCCAGTGACCACTTTCTAGAGATGATTTTACGGTTAGAAATAGTTAGTCTAAATATTCGGGGTTTTTTTTGTCCTGTTATTGTTGAAAATGAGGGTCTGGGATTAAAAAATTTGGTAAAGGCTAGAATGGAGATATTAGTCCACACAGGTTGTCAACTGCTATGTTAAAAAAAAAGAATGATTTTTTTTAAACAAAAAATAAATTCTCTTTATGTTGTTTAATTCGAACATCGTTTATTGGAAGTTTAATTGGAATGTTGTACAGTAGGAATATCATTTAATGTTGTATAGTAGGAATATCATTGAATGGCAATGTTGTGTCGTGGGTATATCTTTTAATGGGAATGTAGTGTAGTAGGTATATCAGTTAATTTTGTATAGTAGGAATATGCGGAAGTTTTACAGTGGGGATATCATTTAATAGGAATGTTGTATAGTGGGAAAATAATTGAATTGGAGTGTTGTATAGTAGAAAAAGTATTTAATTAAAATGTTGACATTATAGGAATATAAATAAATGGGAATTATTTATCGTAGTAAAAGTATTTAATGTGCAAGTTGTATAGTAGGAATATCAAGTAATAGGAAAGTCGTTTGATCGAAATATTATGTGCTGGAAACATTGCATAGTTGGAATGTTATAAAACAGGAACATCGTGTAATCGAAACATTCTTCAGGAGGAACACTTTATCAAAGATCAATCATTTAACGGGACACTATATAGTTGGGTATAGTTTAATGAGGATAATTTTTTAATGGAATATGGTTTAAAGGAAACATTCAGAGGAGTCCTGTCAAAGAGAATTATCGGTCAGAGGTTGTAAAAACAAATTAAATTAAAATGTCATTTTAGCTGCATTTTTGCATTATAAATAGTTTGAGGGGGGTGTGTAAATCGCGAAAGTTTAAAGGGGGGGGGTGCATATTGAAAATTTGCTCCCGAGAGGGGCGCCAATTTGAAAGTTTGTCCCCGGGCGCCGGGAAGGGTCGCTACGCCTCTGTTATCGGTTAATCCGTAGATCGAAGAATTAAAAAAAAACCGAGACCTCTGTATAAAGAACTGGTCGTTCTATCCACGATTTCTGCCAATGCTCACGATAAAAGCAATAACATACGGTCAAGGTCGACAATAAAAGCCGCTGGTCTGACGCAGGGCGCGTGGATGTATCCATTAATCCAGAATCCAACCACGTGTGTGGATTAGGCCGCATCCTTAACACCACAGGCATACAGCGATTGGTCCCATAGGACTGGCTCGTAAGTGCAATCAAAACATGGGGTCCGGTTCGTTTTTTCTCTCTCCATCAAGGGGGTGAACACTTGATGTGTAATAAAACAAGGGGAGGGAATCGCTGTTAATAGGGTGTTCTGCTCATTATTATTCCCCCTTGTCCTCGCTGTTACACAAAAAAAAAAACGAGGCTTAATTTATTCAGCCGGTACAGACGTGGAGTCTGTTGGTGGTGAATTGGCGTGCCACTTCCGGTTGTCGGCTGTGGTTGGTTTATACTGACACTTCTATTCTTTCGTTGTTCATGTCCGCTTTGGGTTTTTAATTTTTTATTATTTAAAAAAAGCTCATGAATTTGGGTACATCCGCACGAATATTTGTTGATATATAATAAAACCACCGAAACAAAACAGTGTGTAGACAGCGAATTGTATCCGGAAAATTTCGTGGCGGAATTATCTCCCATTAACAAGAGCTCAATAGATCTACGTGTGTGTATTTTTGTATGAGCTACTGGATCAGTGTGCCGGGCGTGAGTTTATCAATTGCTATGTCCCGGGGACTGGAAATCGCGAGGTGATCGCCACATGTGCCAAATTATTTTGGCACGGTTTTCTGCCACGCCTTTATTTCCGTGTGATTTTTTTTTTGTTTCAAACTCCCCCGGGGGGAAGGGGTGTTGTCATTGTGTGTGGGCGATGGTAGGTGGGGAGAGTGTTGGGGTTAACGGCTGTCGCGGTTTAACTCTGGTGGGGATCAGTGGTTGAACTGGACATATTCTGGCAATGGTTTAACGTTAAATGTAAAAAGTTAACATTTTTAGGGGCGCCCATCAATGAAGAAACACAGACACATGTAGGTGTGAGGGGGGTACATAGACAGCAAACATGAGGATGGAGGAATGAGGATGTGACATATCAAATATCATTTTTGGAGAACGAAAACGATGAAAATGTTGATTTAATTTAGAATGTTGCTTTGTGTGGGGGGTGAGGACGATGTATGTCTATAGGGCTGGTAAGTAGGTCACCAACTAGTTCTATGGCTCATGCAGGTTTTATTGGGCAGTAGAACTGGTTAGTGACCTACTTACCAGCCCTATAGGGTGGGGGATTAAAGTCAGTTAAAATAACACAAGGACAACCCCCATATCTGTGTTTGATGTTTGAATGCACGAGTTCTAACCCGAACGTCTCGAGTTCGAATCATCCCTGCCTCGGGTCCAGTGGAGTTCCATGAGTACACCTAGCACGAATGTGTATTATCTGACTCACGTGATTAGAAGAAAAGGCTTGGAACTGACAATAGTATATCTTTACATACCGAGGTCAAACAAACAGATGAGCTCTACTTCATCTGCTATCAGTGTTTCTTTCAGACTTTTTTTCTCCGGTTGGGGTGGGGGGGGGGCGGACACTGGTAAGAGATTTCCTACATAAATTCCCCCCCCCCTCCCGAAGAAACTGTCATATAAATCAATAGGTCCGAATTAGTAAATATGTGTATGCAAGTATTACCACTTAGCGTTTTAACTATAACCTTTACATTCTACAGCCAGCTAACCCACCCAACCCACTAGCATGGTCCGGTTTTGTTGTTGTTTTTTTTTTTAAATTATTTGACCAAATCTTCATTTTTTAACCAATCAGCACTCACATCCTGCTCAAGATAACTTTCATTAGCTATGTCACGCATTTATTTGTGAAGATCAAAGGGGTTCAAAGTTAAGGTGGGGGGGGGGGGTCAGTTGGAAAAAAAAAGGAAAATATATTTTTTTAATCATTAAAAAAAACAGGTTAAAATTAATTCGAGGTTTAACTTGTGTATGTAAAGATTTCAAGGATAAAAATCATTAGGCCTACTTTGTTTTGTTTTGGTTTTGTATTTCTCCATCGTAAGTGTTACTGGTTAACCTCCATCATGTGTGATGAGTCCAATGTCAACACTAGACGGCCGTTGTCGCGTGCTGTTAAAAGCTGTTTCATTAGGCACGTACTCGGGGGTTCTCGGTCTATGGACTCGAAGGCCACAGTGACTGGACGGCCATGGGGACTGGACGGCCATGGGTACTGGACGGCCACGGGGATTGGACGGGTATGGTCACTGGATGGCCATGGGGACTGGACGGCCATGGGCACTGGACGGCCATGGGTACTGGACGGCCACGGGGATTGGACGGGTATGGTCACTGGATGGCCATGGGGACTGGACGGCCATGGGCACTGGACGGCCATGGGTACTGGACGGCCACGGGGGTTGGACGGGTAGGGTCACTGAATGGTCATGTGGACTGGACGGCCATGGGCACTGGACGGCCATGGGTACTGGACGGCCACGGGGGTTGGACGGGTAGGGTCACTGAATGGTCATGTGGACTGGACGGCCATGGGCACTGGACGGCCATGGGTACTGGACGGCCACGGGGGTTGGACGGGTAGGGTCACTGAATGGTCATGTGGACTGGACGGCCATGGGCACTGGACGGTAAAGGACACTAGACGGTCTTGGAGATTAAACGGCCAAGCATTATTGGAGGGAGGATCTGACCGCCGCAAACGAAATTTTAAAAATATATTTATAATTGAAAATATATACTTTAATCGGTTTTCTCCCCACCCCGCCTTCCTCTGGAGGTTTCAAGTGCCCCCTCCCAAAAAAAAAAGTCTGAAAGAAAAACTGCTGAGGGGGGATATCCCAACAGAGGCTTTAATTCTTTTTAAACACAAGAGGTACGTAAACGTGACATTACGGAGTTTGCGTTTGGTTTAAAACGTGAGAACCCTTGACCTAATTAAATTGGTCACGAAGCTACTAAGTTGTTGAAATTATTTTATTTCGTGTAAAATAAATCGTAGGGAAAAAAGTTTATGGAAAAAACCAAATCGTGGGAAATGAGGTTATTTTTTTTAAGAGTACAAACTGGCCACGGGCAGATTAACTTCGATTGCGTTTACTACGTACAAAGGTCGCTCTGTTTAAACTGCGGTGTGGGGTTGCCAGGAATTGGTCGGAATTGTGGCCAAAATAATATTTGCGTTTCGTGGTGGCAATTTAGCTTTTTTTTATTTAAGTTTTCTTAAACCACATGAATAAATAAAGGTTGTTGTAGTTTCTGGATAGATTGTGTCTCCTGGGATTCCATATTGGGTGTTTAGATGTTACATTTCATGGTTCGTCTATTTTTTATATTGATTTAAAACGCAAAATATATATGTATATATATATATATATATATATATATATATATATATATATATATATATATATATATATATATATATGTATATATATATATATGTATATATATATATATATATGTATATATATATATATGTATATATATATATATATATATATATATATATATATATATATATATATATATATATATATATATATATATGTATATGTATATATATATATGTATATGTATATATATATATGTATATGTATATATATATATGTATATGTATATATATATATGTATATGTATATATATATATGTATATATATATGTATATATATATATATGTATATATATATATGTATATGTGTATATATATATATGTATATATATATATATATATATATATATATATATATATATATATATATATATATATATATATATATGTATATGTATATATATATATGTATATGTATATGTATATGTATATATGTATGCTAGGATTGGCCGGCCAATCCGCGCATTGGCCAATATCGCCTACCATAGGTCGGTCAAAGTCCGAAACTTTACTTGATTTCGGCCTTTGGCCGGCCAGTCCGCGGACTGGCCATGGTGGACCGGCCAAAGTCTTAATTAGAAGATCATCTGGCTAGGGACGACCGGCCAAAGTCCGAATTAGAAAATCATGAGCAGATTTTGGGTTTTTTAATGCCGTAAGGATCATGAAATTAAGTTTTTATTGATTATTAAGTAAAGTAAATGACAGAAACATTCAAATTTTTTATTGTACTATAGTCTCAATCAATCAATATTATCATTTGTTACAACAAGTTGAACTTTTATGGCATTTAGAATTACATAGCAGCTTGTTATTTTTTACACTTGCAGCGATTTGTTGTGCACTTGGTTGTGCAATTGCAGCGAGTGTAGCCTTGGCCCCCCAGTCAATGATTGTGAAGATGCGATGGTTCGTAGTGATTTTTCCTCAGTGCCAACTGACGACAATAAGAGCAGTTTTTCGTGAAGAATTGAAAACTCACTTCTAGCATACAGTTGTTTTAGAACACCATGTTCCGTTCCTAATTTGTAGAAACCGCCCTCGACGTTCATGACAACTGCAATCACGCTTCGGGAATCACCGCGACCTCTGTCAACATCTGGAACACGGATGCGTACATTGTCACCCACTTCACCATCTTTAAATTTTGTATTTGATGTTTTAAGCATCTTAGCACCTTGATTTTGCAAGCCATTATGAGCTGCTGACCTGTGTTCCATGATGTCTTGTTTGTTGTGACACAATCTGCAGGTAATGTTCCCTCCGTACCCTTCGTCTGCTTCATTGGGTACTCCACAAATAGCATGGACATCTTTGCCACAGGATCCACAATAATGAGCTGTACAAACAAGAGCTAAACAATACGTTACTCACAATGAAACCGCATCCCAGAATAATGAAAACGCGATCACAACTTAGTCTAGATAGAGCATTGGCCAGGACATCCCGGCTAATGCCCGCATTAGCCGGCCAATGTACAAAATACGCTGTCCAGTTTAAGCACTTCGGACTTTGGCCAGTACGTCCCGGCCAGTGTGCGCATTGGCCGGCCAATGTACGAAATACGATCTAAGTTCTAAGTTCTTCGAGCTTTGGCCAAGAGAGCCGGCCAATCCGCGCATTGACCGGCCAATCCGGGGTTTGGCCGCACTACGGGCTTTGACCGTAACATATATATATATATATATAAGACTGTTAAATGTAGAATGTCAGAATCAAGTGTTCTGCCAAGATTAGCTCTATCACAATGGTACAATGTGCATGTCATAATGTTGGTTTATTTGTTGGGTATCATGCGCTCAAAGGTTACGGTTCAGTTTAAGGTTTGATTTAGGGTGGGAGTTCCCATCAGGGTTAAGCTCGTGTTTTGATGCATCAGGTCGCGGTTGCATTAGTGTGACGTCACTTCCTGGTTGGCGTGACGCCATGTCCCCAAACAGGAAACCAGGTCAGCGCTTTTTAAGGCTGCTATAACACAAAGATATTTAAATATAGGTTTAATGTCTTTTATTTATAACTTTTAAAACCTCGTTAAACATCCCCACTACAGCTTCCTATGGTTCCGCCATCCAAAGCCGGAACAATGCGTACGTTTAATTAGCCAATACTTGGCTTCTCCTCCCACCCCCCTCCCTCCCCACCCCCAGCCGTATCTTGGCTAAGCCCATTTTAATTCCTGCATCTATCATAGACTTTTTTTTGGAGATTTCGCCCACTCACCCCCAAGCATTGCACCCCCCCCCCCATCTGTTGTAACCTTCTTGCGCTCAATCTTACACCCTCCCCTCTACGCACTCACTTACGTTTTTAAATCAGCCCCCCCCCCATTCCCCCCTCTTCCCCCCCCCCCCCCCCAAAAAAAAACACCTTTAGCACTACTTTCCTCCGCCCCCACAAACACATAAACATCCCAATAATATGGATGTGTAAAAAAAATAGAATAAGAAAAAAAAAATCTTATTTTAAAATCACGTTTTTAGACACATCTTGTATCGTGTTTGTGGAAGAGTAGACGATGTAATCTTACACTTTTGAGTAGAACTCACAATATTCACAACAAATGACTTGAGAAGGGATTACCGTTATTGTCATTGGGTTGGTTCCCTTTCTATTAAAAAAAAAATACCGAGTAGCGCTGACGTCATGGATGTAAAGGGAGTTAATCGTGTGGTCATCTGGTGGCGAGATGTAGACTGAATACCAATAAGTTGAGTTGTGTTCACACTGGTCTTCAGGGTGGGGGTTGGGGGGAGGGGTAGTTCAATGGATTTGTGGTTTAAATAGGTTAAGACAAGGTGTAGTGGGAGAATATGGTGCGTGTGTAGGATTGTGGAAAGTGAGGGGGATGTGTTGAGCTAATTTTTTAAACAGTATCTAAATAGGTGAGACTGGTTGCATTTATTTTTTTAAATGTGTTATTACGTTATTTCTAAATGTGTGTTGTGTGTTAGCAGTATGGAAAGTAAATTGTTTTGTTTTTAAGAAAGTGTGTTATAAATAATTATCACGTATGTTTGTATTTCTTTTTTTATCTGACTAGGTTGTTAATTTGTTATTGAAACTTTTTTTTACGAATGTTGTAATCTCTAACATGACTAACCTGTTTTGTCTGACCTAACCACCTATTTGTCTGACCTAACCACCTATCTTGTCTGACCTAACCACCTATTTGTCTGACCTAACCACCTGTCTTGTCTGACCTAACCACCTGTCTTGTCTGACCTGACCCACCTGTCTAGTCTCACCTGACCCACCTGTCTTGTCTGACCTGACCCACCTGTCTTGTCTCACCTGACCCACCTGTCTAGTCTCACCTGACCCACCTGTCTAGTCTCACCTGACCCACCTGTCTAGTCTCACCTGACCCACCTGTCTAGTCTCACCTGACCCACCTGTCTAGTCTCACCTGACCCACCTGTCTAGTCTCACCTGACCAACACACCTGTCTAGTCTCACCTGACCCACCTGTCTTGTCTCACCTGACCAACACACCTGTCTAGTCTCACCTGACCCACCTGTCTTGTCTCACCTGACCCACCTGTCTTGTCTCACCTGACCCACCTGTCTAGTCTCACCTGAACAACACACCTGTCTAGTCTCACCTGACCCACCTGTCTAGTCTCACCTGACCCACCTGTCTAGTCTCACCTGACCCACCTGTCTAGTCTCACCTGACCCACCTGTCTAGGCTCACCTGACCCACCTGTCTAGTCTCACCTGACCCACCTGTCTAGTCTCACCTGAACAACACACCTGTCTAGTCTCACCTGACCCACCTGTCTTGTCTCACCTGACCAACACACCTGTCTAGTCTCACCTGACCTACTTGTCTAGTCTCACCTGACCCACTTGTCTAGTCTCACCTGACCCACTTGTCTAGTCTCACATGACCCACTTGTCTAGTCTCACCTGACCCACTTGTCTTGTCTCACCTGACCCACTTGTCTTGTCTCACCTGACTCACGTGTCTTGTCTCACCTGACTCACGTGTCTTATATCATCTGACCTAACCACTTGTCTAGTCTCACTTGACCCACTTGTCTTGTCTCACCTGACCAACACACCTGTCTAGTCTCACCTGACCAACACACCTGTCTAGTCTCACCTGACCAACACACCTGTCTAGTCTCACCTGACCAACACACCTGTCTTGTCTCACCTGTCTCACGTGTCTAGTCTCACCTGTCTCACGTGTCTTGTGTACTCACCAGGTGACTACCACTACTTCCACGTGTACAAACCGTGCGTCCCCACCACCCTACAGCAGATGATGGCTAAACCAGATTACGTAAGTGCTCACTTTTGTTATAGCTCATACTATTGCATCTTTGATTATACCCCAGCCACCTATTGTCAATCATCCCTCTCCCGAGATACTATCCTGCTACCATTACAAAGCTGGCCGGCCAAAAAAAAACATGGAAAAGAACGGTTGAAGAAGAGGCAAAAACAGCTGGGCTCACATGGGCACAGATTAGAGGAGCAGCCCAAAACCGAGTCCGCTGGAAATGTGTAGTTGCAGCCCTTTGCTCCCCAGGGGCCACAAAGGAATGATGATGATGGTGATGATTACCCCCCTACCCCCCGAACAATTACCTTCTGTCATTTGGTCTCCAAAGTAGTTACTACCCCTCCCCTCGAGAATGTCTGTTATATGTATTGGTGCTGTACAACTGAAACAAAATGAACGACATACAAAGCAGTGCTGCCAGCACTATGCCCATCCGCCATTATCTTCCCAAACGTGAGGCAAGTACACTTTAGAGCTGGATGGACTCAGGGACGTCCTTCGGACTACCCTTGGATCCGAAAGAGAAACACACGGGCGAGCTGTCGCACGCTCTACAAATCAACCACGCCGCCCCATAAATCAATTTTCGACAAAATAGATCAAGTGTGACCGGACTATCGCTAGAGTTAAAGATCAGCAACCGAGGCTTATATTCGCTATGCCAACTTTCATCGCTGTTGTTGGTACGATGTGAGAAGGTGGTGCCACTCGGCTGCATCTGTTGGTGATGATGTGAGGCTTGGGAACAGCTCGGCAGAAACGGTGGTATCACATGGTTAATGGGCGTGGTCGGTATTATCGGGGGGGGGGGGGGGGGACTGGGGGTCATGTCAAGGGGTGGTTGATTTCAGAAAGTGGGGGTGGGGTTAATCGTAGATGGTCAATTTCATGAGGAATAGACAGGTAGTGATACTAAGGGGAATATGTCGGGGCTAATCGATTGGGGGGGGGGGGGGTGGGTAAGGCAAGGTGTTAATCATAGAGCAATGGACAGGATATAACGGCAGAAAGTTATTTTTAGGACAGGGGTGGGGGAATGACAATGAGTAGTGACAAAGAGGGGGCAATGTCCAGCTCTCTGTTTAATTTCACTCTGAAATTAAAATACGCACATTCTCTCTCTTCAAATTGTTCGCTAACACACACACACACACACACACAATCGTGCTCGTTCTTACACACACTCGTCAACAAACACGCACTCTTTTAAAACGTAATCAACCATGTACAAAGCACGAAGATGAAAAGAAAACCGCACACGTTAAAAGCATCAAAATTAAATCTAGCCCCTATAATGGTAGTCAAGGCAAAAACATTTAAAACTAGCTTGGCTTATGTAATTACTGATAAATTAATCCACCAACGGTATCAGGGTGACCATGATGGAACACTCAGCCCCTTCTGTGTTCAGTCATGCGTGACTCCCATTAAACTTCTAAAACTTTCGGGGAAATATCCCGCGCGCATTTAATCAGGGGATTAAAGAATTAATTTGTCACCATGTAATTTTAAACGTCATCATGCCTCCGAGATTGTTTCATTTTTTTAGTACTTGTTTTTTAAATTTCTAACAAGTCCATCACTTTTACCACGCTTCATTAACCGCGCTGCTGAATTGTACACTAATTAGCCAATATCAGATTATCTTTCCGCTAATTATCTTACTGCTAATTGATTATTTCACTTTTAATTGCTTGTCAACGTTGTGTTATCCCCCTTATAATTATCTCCCACATAATTACTTTAGCTTTAGTTAGAACTATCTTACCACATACATTTTTTAACTTGCTTTACTTATTTAAAATATTCTAATAGCCAACTGCAATTTACCTCACACATAATTATATAAAACTAATTAACACCCTTCTAATTAAATCAGACAATATTGCCTCATAACTATTACCGCACACAAATTTACATCACTACAAATTAACTACCACTTTACTAACTTTCACAATAATAAATACTTCTTTGCTAATTACCTCATTAATAATGACCACAGCTCCAATCGTCCTTACTGTTAATTACCTCGTCATTAATTGCCCATTCATTAAAACAGCGCCGTAAAAATCTATTACAGACTTGGTTGCTGTGGTACATTATTTCCCTTGTCTAATGACGCGTGTCTTCACCTCACCACTAGTCGCGCATGTCCGTCTTTCAGTCACGTGACCTTGGTCGTCTGAACGTTTTAAAACCTAATTAAGCAATTAATGGCGCGAGTCTCCATCGGACAACGTGTTTTAATTGCCTTTCGGGAATGTAAATTTTACATCATGTGTTCTAGAAAAATACGAATGCATTCAAAATTTGAATCCGTCTACTGTGTTTTGGTACATTGTCTTCGAAAGGAACGTTGAAGCAGAAATATTTATACCTGGTGATGGATTCAATTTAAATAAGCTAACGTGTAAATACCGTTGCATAAAGTGAAATTAAAAAATTGTTTAAATGTAACATATAATAAAATGTAACGGTGATGAAAGTTGACTTTTTTATAACGATATTCAGCTTTAAGATCAGCAATCAAAACGCCAAAATGTGTATTGTGGAACTACAGGCAATGAAGGAGGGGGAGGGGGGGGGGTGGAGGGGGAGGTGGGGGGGCGGCCGTCGGCTAAACAATTGCTTAGTCCTTACTTCCTCCTTTTCAAAAAAAAAAAGGAAATAGTAATGCACATTCTTGCTGTGTCTAAAGCTAATTGATTTTTTAAATTTTTTACTTTATATTTAATTACTTTAACAAAGTATTACAACATACCACCCCCCCACCCACACAAACATATTAATGAATTAATTGAATACTTGGATTCTCCCCCTAGGGTCAGGTTCTGGTGACGGGCAAACTGGGCAGTGAGCAGGACTACATGAGGCTCCACTTCAACCAGTACAACACGGTGGAGACCATCACATGCATGTCCAGAAAAGTGAGTGGTCTAAGGGGAGTAACTCGTTGAAAATTTTCAGGGGAATTAACCCTGCGATGAGTTATTATGGTTTTGTTGTTTTATTTTTTTTTTACCACCTAAAAGAGGATAAACGATGGCTACTGGCACCAAGTACTGACAATAAACTTGGACAGTATTGCTAACAAATATCCCAGAACATCTACAGTGACAATAATAACTCACACTGATAGTTAACACTGACCACAGACAGTAAAATTTAATACTGACCAGTGACGCTATGTACTGACTCCTGACTGTAGGAACTGACCTGTCACTAACCAATAAACTCAGAAAACTTGACTTTTACGACTAGACAACAAAGACGGTTACCATACACCATACAAGACTGCCACCACCACACACCACCACCAACAAAGTCTGTCACAACCACACACTACCAACAAAGACTACCACCACAACACCCACCACCACACACCACCACCACCAAAGACTGTCACCACACACCACCACCACCAAAGACTGCCACCACAACACACCACTATAAAGGACAGTCACCAAACCTTCCCCCCACCACCACCATTTGTTCCAGCCCTTCCCCAAAGACAACTTCCTGTGTCTGTATGGGGTCCATGAAAGAATGCTGAACAACCTGTTTGTTCGCTACAAGGAAGGTTTGATTACAGACTTCTATAAGTGAGTAGCCTTCATCACTTTATCCTATCAACAGTCATAACATTAGGTCTATCTAATGGAGTTAAGTTCACGGGATGAGTATAATAAGCTATTGATAAACAATGAGTAGGCGGCTTCTCAAATATATTCTGAAATTTGTTTTTAAATTGGACGTACTAGTAAAAGGATTCGTAGTTTTTAATTTTGCGAATTATTTGTTTTGTTCAAATTTTGCACCCCACTACCACGCATCCAGCTTTCTCCGCATACCAACATCCAATACCACCCTATCCGATTTAAAATTCAAGTTATTTTTGTCTGTCAAATTTAAAAAAAAAAAAAAAAAACAGGTGTAGCACGGCCTAGGTAACCCAGATATAGCAATTGGGGTAGGGGGGGGGAGTGGGTGTTTGTATTTTTAAGCCAAACACCGCCTTCATTAAATGACTTTATAAAATTCCAATCACTACCCCAAAATGTAACAACCCTAATGATAATTAACATTTTTCATTATTTCTGACTTTAAACTGATATAAATCCCCCACCCCTCCCCCACGTTGCGAAACTATGACGTGATTGACTGCTGTGACCTTTGACCTGTAATGACGGCGACCTTGACCTTGCAGGTACCTGATGGAACCATGGGCCATGGCCATCTACCACGACCGTTTCCCGGACCTGAGGGACGAGATAAGGGAGCTGCTCATCTCTAATGAGGTAATGGGGGGGGCGTGGTCATGGGGGGCGTGGTCATGGGAGGGGGCGTGGTCTTGGGGGGCGTGGTCATGGGGTGGGAGGGGGTCGGTGTTTAAAATAGTTGGGGGTCGGGGGTCACTTAATGTGTTTACATAGGTTGAAGGTTCATGTGATCTTAGGGGTTGGGCTTAGGTATTCACCTGGGGGTTACATGCTGGGGGGAGGGGGTCGGAGGGATGGGGGCAGGTGTGGTTTTCATAGGGGTTGGTGTCACGTGCTCACTTAGGTCAGTTTTTAAAGGGGGTCGAGGGGTCACGTTGGGGGGGGGGGTGCTTAATCACCGGGGTGACATGTCTAGAAAAATTGTATTGTTAACAATAATAGTTTACATGGTTGGGGAGAAGGCAATGGAGGTGGGACAGTATTAGTAATAGAAAATGGGGGAGGGGGGGCGTAATTGTGACGTAATTACTTCGAGTTGTGTTTTTAATATGATACCGCTAATGCTTGAACTAACGTATTAGTCTTGACATACAAAAAAAAGATTATCAATACGTGTTACTTAAGCTAAATGGTAGGTGAGGTAGAGTTTGGCTGTTAATGTGACAGTTACGGGTATCACGTGTCTATTGTTACTTGCAGGACGAGAAAGCTGCGACCATTGAGGATCTGGCTAGACAGTTGGTAGACGAGGAGATAGGGGTAAGTCTTGGTAGTTAGTGGGTAAGTCTTGGTAGTTAGAGGGTAAGTCTTGGTAGTTAGAGGGTAAGTCTTGGTAGTTAGAGGGTAAGTCTTGGTAGTTAGAGGGTAAGTCTTGGTAGTTAGAGGGTAAGTCTTGGTAGTTAGAGGGTAAGTCTTGGTAGTTAGAGGGTAAGTCTTGGTAGTTAGAGGGTAAGTCTTGGTAGTTAGAGGGTAAGTCTTGGTAGTTAGAGGGTAAGTCTTGGTAGTTAGAGGGTAAGTCTTGGTAGTTAGAGGGTAAGTCTTGGTAGTTAGAGGGTAAGTCTTTGTAGTTAGAGGGTAAGTCTTGGTAGTTAGTCTTGGTAGTTAGAGGGTAAGTCTTGGTAGTTAGAGGGTAAGTCTTGGTAGTTAGAGGGTAAGTCTTGGTAGTTAGAGGGTAAGTCTTGGTAGTTAGTCTTGGTAGTTAGAGGGTAAGTCTTGGTAGTTAGAGGGTAAGTCTTGGTAGTTAGAGGGTAACTTGTGGTAGTTAGTCTTGGTAGTTAGAGGGTAAGTCTTGGTAGTTAGTGGGTAAGTCTTGGTAGTTAGTGGGTAACTTGTGGTAGTTAAAGGGTAAGTCTTGGTAGTTAGAGGGTAACTCGTGGTAGTTAGTGGGTAAGTCTTGGTAGTTAGTCTTTGTAATTAGAGGGTAAGTCTTGGTAGTTAGAGGGTAAGTCTTTGTAATTAGAGGGTAAGTCTTGGTAGTTAGAGGGTAAGTCTTGGTAGTTAGTAGGTAAGTCTTGGTAGTTAGTGGGTAAGTCTTGGTAGTTAGTAGGTAAGTCTTGGTAGTTAGTAGGTAAGTCTTGGTAGTTAGTAGGTAAGTCTTGGTAGTTAGTGGGTAAGTCTTGGTAGTTAGTGGGTAAGTCTTGGTAGTTAGTGGGTAAGTCGTGGTAGTTAGTGGGTAACTCGTGGTAGTTAGTGGGTAACTCGTGGTAGTTAGAGGGTAAGTCTTGGTGGGATTTGAGGGTACGTCTTGGTAGTTCGATGGTACGTCTTGGTAGTTCGATGGTACGTCTTGGTAGTTAAGATGGTTATAGTTTGTGGGTAATGTGTAATATGTCTTAGTATCTACAGGGTAATAAAGGGATTCATTGCTAAAATGCCGTGGCGTAGCGAGGTCGGGTGTCATCCGGTCGGCACTTAATGGTGTTATCCCCAGAGGCGTTGCGACCCTTTTTCGATTTGCACCTCTTGAAAGACTATTTAACACTCGAATTAATCAATTAAGTCGAATTATCATTTTTCTCTATATATTTTGCTATTTTTTGCCTTGGTGTCACCCGGTGCGGTCCGCACCCCCCGCCCCTCTCTTCGCCTCTGCTAAAATGTGTAAGATTTCATGAGTGACCAATACTTTGACTAGAAAGATAATAGTTGTTTTGTTTCTAGTGTATTTAATAGGTAATTAATATAGAGTGCTTGTTCCTTGTTGTTTTGCTCTTGTTCAGGATGCTAACTCACCGGTGGGTTTTTTTTTTTCTATTTTCCGAGCTGAGTTTTTCACTGCCAATAATTGGGTCGTTCTATTTTTATGTCGACATCCCACACAGCTATTGGATATTCCCGGAAGAGCAGAGCATTCCGGCCACTAATTTGGCAACGTGTTCGTGGACAGAAACAAAAAAAAAGGGGGCAATCTAATGATCATAAATATGGTCACATGACCCAATGTAGTGTTTGCCACTTCCTGTCCACTGTACTCTTGATTGGGTCTAAAAATAGAAGCCAGCCTCGACTTGGCATGTGGGGTCAAATCTCTTCTTTGATACTGAGACCTCGTGAGGCCTAACGCGTAGAGCTTTTATTATATTACGAGCCGGCCCGCGGCATAACATACGCCGCTATTTAGTTGTTTCTAATTTTCAATAATTCATAATTTGTGAATTCGACAGTACCAACGCTGACACTGAAAATATTTCTTTAAAACACTATAAGTAGCTCGTTAAGGACCATAACCCCCCCCCCCCCTTCCTTCCCTTCCCCCCCCCCCTCCTCCACCCCCCCTTCCTTCCCTCCCCCCCCTCCTCCCCCCCCCCCCCCCCTACGTTTAAAATCGTTGGCTCTGCTTGTAAACATTTAGAGTGAACACAGCTCACTAAAACCATGTAGGGGTGGGGAGGTAAGGAGAGCGTTTGCAGCTTGTTTTCTAACGGCTCGAAGAAGAGAATTATATATATAGATTCTTGTATACTGAAGAGTACTTTTCGAGGGGGGCGGGAGGGGGGGGGGGGCATGGCGTCACTAGATCGGGTGCGGTAACCCAGTATGTCAATCCCCTCCACCGATTACATTTATGAAGTAGAAATGGTTTGCATCCTATATTTTCTTAATATATAATATATAAGCCCATTTAATTAGTTATATATATTGGCCATATATATATATATATATATATATATATATATATATATATATATATATATATATATATACATACATTAGTTAAAATCCTTAATTAGCTATTAAACTACCCCGAGAAAAGCTTTCTCGCTAAAATATGATAATCATGTTATATTTCGCTTTTGTGTAACATGTTGGAGTCACACCCCCCCCCCCCCCCCGCCTTGTGACGCCACTGGGGAGTGGTGTATTGTAAAGCCGTGTCATGTTGAATTGTAAGAATACGTTCATTCTTCTACGCTCCCGTCAAACTGTGGCCCGGAATTCATTAATTTGGTTCATTAATAAAAATCACTGCTTATGGTGGGATTATTCCGCTGGTAGTTTGTTTTTTTTTTAATTGGGATTTGGTATATCTTGTTTGGAGTACAACGTTAATTTTACTACAGGGTGCACTTTAGCGCAATAAATTCGTTGGGGGGGGGGGGGGAGGGGGGGTCTGAACTTTGTTACGGTATGTATTTTCTATATAAATTAGATTTTTTTTCTATTAAGGTGCTTCTGTGACATAATTTCCCCCCAACTTCCCTCGAAATAAAAAAAAAAATCTATTTCCTTCTCCCTCGTGATATCCCCAGTTCACCCAGGACCAGAGGAAGGAGCTGATGTCGGCCTACATAGCCACGGGGGCCAAGCGTGCCGTAGAGACCCGCCTCCTCAACTTCATCGGCTACAACCACTACCACCTGCCCATGTACGCCAAGCCTGGGATGGTGTGAGGCCGACCACAACAGGGCTGACGTCATCAATGTTGACCCATGTAAAGTCCGTCCAGGTGGCTATTGGTCAGACAATCGACAGTTCATCTTAATGACTTGTTCTATTTTTAAATTCATTCTGAACTTTCAGTTCTGGCTCAGTAGAGAAAATTGTGTAGAGAACAGTAATTTTTCTTCACTAGTGAGGGTCAACCTCAAAACTTAAAGGCCAGTGGTGATATTTGTTTTACATATAATTCTTTTTTAAATGATTCTAAGGTTTTACAAAATAAATGTTTTATATATTCATAAGTATATTATATAACTGTTGCAACAGTTTTGATGATCAGTATACATATTTTTTTTAACTAGATCTGAACTCTAGGGATGAAAAAAATTTGTGACAGTTATTTCTTTTTTTTAACTTTGGTTTAGTTGGGCTCACAAATCAGAATAAATTGTCCAACCCATTTTTGGATTCTGTTAAAATTTAATATATTTAAGATTGCTTTTAAATCACAAAATTAGTGATTATTTCAGTTTTCTCTATTAGACAATGAAAAATCATGTAACTACAGTTGAATAAATATTTTTTTAAATGTGTTAAATTGTTTTTTATATTATGTAAGAAGTGGATAAACAATCTTAAATTGCATGAAATAACAATAAATTTATTTAAATAACAAACAAGGTATACTTAACACTTACAACAGAGTAAGATATTTAAGCCTTACGGCCTTCAAATAATTCTAGATATAAACATTTTATTCCAGGTAGTCTCATTCAAATTGCTTTAACACTATATTAAACAATTAACATGTAAACGAGCATAACTAATCTAAAGAAGCTTTTTGCTAACCATACAATCTTTTAAAAATGTGTAAAGATAGAAAATTTAAAATTAAATCTTTTTCTGAAAAATGAATAGCTATTAGATCTAGCTATTGAAAGAACAAATGTTTAGCTTGACATTGAATTGTGCGTATACTTACCATAATCCAAGTGCCCTGAAAATATGCCTGGAGTAAAAATAAATGGTCAGAGAAAAACACAAACCACCCAAATAGCTTTTTAAAGGAAGAGAAGCTGAGGATTTAAAAGATGATAGGTCACTGGTCTGGAGAAGAATGCAACAACAGAGAAACATCAACAGCAGTTCAGTTGTGGTTGTAAAAATATGCCATGGGAGATAACCAGTGAAGGGCGTTAGATGTGGTTGAAACATGACATGGGAGATAACTGAAGGAGTTTAGATACAGATAGATAACCATGATACAGCAGGACCTAAATAGAAGTGTGGCTGTGGAATCAACATTAGTCTGTGGAGACAGTGTACAACTTCCTTAGCTAATTTCTTCAAAAAAATTTAAAACTTTCAACATTACTATTTTTCCTAATCCTCAACTTATGTTAGGAATTACAATTTAGATTATGGAAGTAGTGTAAAAGATGTTGAGCAACCAGCCAAAAGAAGTTTGCACACTGCTCCACCTTAACAGTGTATACCCAAATGTCATAATAGGTATCAAACTAACAAAACAAAAACCATACAATACAAATTGTTCAATCAATTAACTATTTACATTTGATAATTTCATAATAACACAACATTGCTAGTTAAGACCATGGAAGAAAAATAATTTAACCAGCGAAAAAAATATTTTTTAATCTGTGTCCTCCCCTGATTCAACCTCCCCCTTTGCTGAATGCTTACTCTTTAACTCACTCTCCTCCCTGACTCTGTCCTCCCCAGATTTCCTATCCGAGTGTCTATCTTTAATCTTCTTCACCTTACCCTCTCTGTCATCTTTCTTCTCTTTTTTTATCTCCACCTCGCTCTCACTGCTACTGTCTTGCCTTTTCTCTCGGCTACGACGCCTCTTATCTACTTCATAGCTCCTTTCTTTACCCCTCCTATCCTCCCTTCTATCTCTTTTAAACCTCTCGCGATCTGATCGCTCTCTCTCTTTAGAATCCCTCCTCTTTCTACCCTCCTCTCGCCTGTGCCTCCTCTTATCTGTATCTTCACTTGCCTCTCTCCTCTTCTCTCTCCTCAACTCTCTCTCCTCTTGTTTATCCTTCTCTTTGTCTTTCTCTTCATCATCACTATCCCCCTTAGATTTACTTAACGCTACATGTGCCTCTGGCTCTGGCACCACACCCCTAACCACAACCTCCCTCTCCACCTCTTTACTCAAACTATGTCCCTCTTTTTCTACTTTCTTACCCCCCTCCTCTTCGTCTGAACTAGAACTACTTTCATTCCCATTCTCCTCTACCTTAACCAATATTTTTCTTTTAGCATCCGCCACCTGCGTTACCTCCTTCCCCCCACTATCTTCCTCCCCACTACTTGCACTACTGCTCCCCCCATCCTTCTCAACAACCACCGTCCTCCTAGACTTTTTCTTTATCTCCTTCGAATCATCTTCCTCCTCTTCCTCCTCCGAGTGAGCCTCCTCCGCCTCCTTACTCAACCTGCTCTGATCCAGCTCTTGTTTAACCTCCTCAGCTACCACCCCACCACCCCCTTCCTTGACTCCAGCACCCCCCTCTTGCCCCTCTATCTCCTCCTCATCACCAAAAAGACCATCCTCCCGCAGCCTCATCTTAATCCTCTCTTCTCGTTTGATTTCTCGCTCCATCAACTCTTTTATCTCTTTTTCAAGCCTGTCTTTTCCTTCTTGTAACATTTCTGAAACCAAACATATTAGTCGTTAAAGTTTGAATTAGGCGAAAAATTGTTTTTATCGTTATAATTTGAATTTGGTGAAAAATATTTTTAATCGTTAAAATTTGAATTAGTTGAAAAACAATGTGTTACTCAAATAAATTTACTAATCTAAATAGAAATTTTTTTGTTAATGAATCAAATCTACACCAGTTGAAAATTTTTTGTTAATGAATCAAATTCAACACTGGTAAAATATTTGTTAATAAATCAATATAATATCATGTGAAAATAAGTTGATTATTAAATCAATTTAACACTAGGTAAAAATGTGTTGCTGAATCAAATTTACACCTAGGGAGGGCTTCTAAGTAGGCACAGATTCTCGTTCTTGTACTTGCCAGCTAGTATTTTTCAAGCCAAATGTGAATATTTTTTTATTAAATCATTTTTTTAAAAAGTAATAGAAATGTTACTTCCGCTACTGTTACAGTATTTAACATCATAAACAATGGAAATGATAGTCTAAGAGATGAAGGCTAGCTTAACAGAAATATAGCCTGCATTAAAAAAATTTTTTAAAGAAATGAAATGTTTATTCGAATTTGTAACAATTTGTCCAAAACGAAGTTACAATATTAATAGCCTAATATTAATTAATAGCCACAGGTACTTTATTTTATTGCATTTTTGGGTAAGCCCAACTCTTGGTATTTAAAAAAGTTGAAGCAAGGCCCAGAAATAAATAACCATCATATTTTTTTGTTATCAATAGAAATTAATTTTCAAGACATGAATTTAGTTCAAAAATTTCTCTCTTCTTGGCTAGAAAGATTTTGAATTTTAAGCAGTAGAAACAGAGACTTACAAGCTTTATTTAAATTAATCTAAAACTAATGTAATTAAGAGAAACTTACCATCAACCACTTTTTTGGAGTCCTTCAATTTATTTTCCATCAGCGTGGACATCTGTACAGGTTTCCAGAAGATGCGTGGTTTGGATTTTGTAGCGATGAAGTTTTTAAGTTTCTCCATTTCCACTTCCCTTTCAGCATGCTAGGACATAAAACAAAAAGCCTTATTTATTAACTGATTGTATTCAGATTTTAATATTACATTATTTCCTATCAGCTTTCTCTTCCATCTAACTAGTGTTTGTTTAATTAAAAACAGAATATTTTTGTATTTCATGAGCCAACCTACCTTCACTAAAAAAGTCTAACTACAACCTCCTCCCAGAAAAACCAAACGTATCTCCACCTACAAAAAGTAAACCTACATCCACCAAAAAATGCAAACTTAGCTCTACCAAGAAAGAAGTGAACCTACCTCCACCTAGAAAAACCAAACCTACCTCCACCTAGAAAAACCAAACCTACCTCCACCTAGAAAAACCAAACCTACCTCCACCTAGAAAAACCAAACCTACCTCCACCTAGAAAAACCAAACCTACCTCCACCTAGAAAAAAATGAACCTACCACCACCAAGAAAAAATGAACCTACCACTACCTAGAAAAAATGAACCTACCACCAACTAGAAAAAAATGAACCTACCTCCACCTAGAAAAAATTAACCTACCACCACCTAGAAAAAATTAACCCAACAACACCACCTTGAAAAAGTGGACCTACTCCTCACAGTAAAAAATGAACCTACCCCCTCCCAGAAAAAATGAACCTACCCCCTCCCAAAAAAAAAGAACCTACCACTCCCAGAAAAAATGAACCTACCCCTCCCAGAAAAAATGAGCCTACCTCCAGCTAGAAAAAGTGAACCTACCCCCTCCAAGAAAAAAGTGAACCTAACCCTCCAAGAAAAAAGTGAACCTACCCCCTCCCAAAACAAAAAAATGAACCTACCTCTAGCTAGAAAAACCAAACTTACCTCTAGCTAGAAAAACCAAACTTACCTCTAGCTAGAAAAACCAAACTTACCTCTAGCTAGAAAAACCAAACTTACCTCTAGCTAGAAAAACCAAACTTACCTCTAGCTAGAAAAACCAAACTTACCTCTAGCTAGAAAAACCAAACTTACCTCTAGCTAGAAAAACCAAACTTACCTCTAGCTAGAAAAACCAAACCTACCTCTAGCTAGAAAAACCAAACTTACCTCTAGCTAGAAAAACCAAACCTACCTCCAGCTAGAAAAACCAAACTTACCTCTAGCTAGAAAAACCAAACTTACCTCTAGCTAGAAAAACCAAACTTACCTCCACCTAGAAAAAATGAACCTACAACCACCTAGAAAAAATGAACCTACAACCACCTAGAAAAAATGAACCTACAACCACCTAGAAAAAATGAAGCTACAACCACCTAAAAAAATGAACCTACAACCACCTAGAAAAAATTAACCTAACAACACCACCTTGAAAAAGTGAACCTACTCCTCTCAGAAAAAAGTGAACCTACTCCTCTCAGAAAAAAGTGAACCTATTCCCTCCCAGAAAAAGTGAACCTACCCCTCCCAGAAAAATGAACCTACCCCCTCCCCAAAAAAAAGAACCTACCCCTCCCAGAAAAAATGAGCCTACCTCCAGCTAGAAAAAGTGAACCTACCCCCTCCCAGAAAAAATGAACCTACCCCCGCCCAAAAAAAAAGAACCTACCACTCCCAGAAAAAATGAACCTACCCCTCCCAGAAAAAATGAGCCTACCTCCAGCTAGAAAAAGTGAACCTACCCCCTCCAAGAAAAAAGTGAACCTAACCCTCCAAGAAAAAAGTGAACCTACCCCCTCCCAAAACAAAAAAATGAACCTACCTCTAGCTAGAAAAACCAAACTTACCTCTAGCTAGAAAAACCAAACTTACCTCTAGCTAGAAAAACCAAACTTACCTCTAGCTAGAAAAACCAAACTTACCTCTAGCTAGAAAAACCAAACTTACCTCTAGCTAGAAAAACCAAACTTACCTCTAGCTAGAAAAACCAAACTTACCTCTAGCTAGAAAAACCAAACTTACCTCTAGCTAGAAAAACCAAACTTACCTCTAGCTAGAAAAACCAAACTTACCTCTAGCTAGAAAAACCAAACTTACCTCTAGCTAGAAAAACCAAACTTACCTCTAGCTAGAAAAACCAAACTTACCTCTAGCTAGAAAAACCAAACTTACCTCTAGCTAGAAAAACCAAACTTACCTCTAGCTAGAAAAACCAAACTTACCTCTAGCTAGAAAAACCAAACTTACTTCTAGCTAGAAAAACCAAACTTACCTCTAGCTAGAAAAACCAAACTTACCTCTAGCTAGAAAAACCAAACTTACCTCTAGCTAGAAAAACCAAACCTACTTCTAGCTAGAAAAACCAAACTTACCTCTAGCTAGAAAAACCAAACTTACCTCTAGCTAGAAAAACCAAACTTACCTCTAGCTAGAAAAACCAAACCTACTTCTAGCTAGAAAAACCAAACTTACCTCTAGCTAGAAAAACCAAACTTACCTCTAGCTAGAAAAACCAAACTTACCTCTAGCTAGAAAAACCAAACCTACCTCCAGCTAGACAAAGTGAACCTACCCCCTCCCAAAAAACAAATGAACCTACCTCCAACAAGAAAAAATGAACCTACCCCCTCCCAAAAAAAAAGTGAACCTACCCCCTCCCAAAATGAACCTACCTCCTGGACCATCTCCATCTTCTGTTCCAGCCTGGTAATCTTTGACTGCTCCAAGTGCAGCTCCTCTATCAGAAGTTTGGTCTCCTGTTTGAACTTCCTCTTCTCCTTCTCGGCATTCACTTCAAGTTTCTCCTCAATTTTTTTTCTCTGTACATCCTGTAAAGGAAATCAAAGGTTCATGCAGAGCCTTGCATCAGTGCACATTTTCCCTTTTTATTAAAAATTAAATTCAATTTCACACAGCTCCACAATAACAGTGTATACCAAATTGTCATAATTGATATTAAACTTGACATTACACAGTTCAAAGTGGCAAAGAAATAAAACAGTGGGTATTTTTTAGTTTTCTTATACCCACTCTTAACTTTTTTTCCCAAGAAACAAACACAGCCAAACTATAGTTGTTTTAAACAGAATTTCATGATCGCACCTGAAACCCTCAGGAATTTACCTCAACAACTCAATGTGTTGATTTGCAGAAGATTATTTATGTATGATAATCTAATCATTGAAAACATGATATTAATTAATGTAGATTAAATAGTGTTGATAAATAACCATCAATATAAATATATAACTGAATTTAATTAGACCTGCTAACAAACTGCTAATTGTTTGTATAGAGAAACACAACTTTGAAAGCTTACAAAAAATTATCTGTACCTACAAGGCAAAAACAAGCTATAAATTGTTAGTATTAGACTGTCCTGACTTATAGAGCTCACAACAATCTAAATTACCTTTGTCTCCAAGGTTTTAGATTCAGTTTTAAACCTGTTCAGTGTTCCCAGCAGTAGCCCAAACATTCTTCTGTTCCTATAAAACGCAACAAAAAAAGTTATTTGTTTAAATTTTAAAATAATATATTTTTTAGTTAGAATCCAGGTTGAAGCCAGAAGAACATCCCTGAATCCACCAACTCTGATGGGTACCTAACTCACATTAGGGAAAGTAAATGTGTTTGCACATAGTGCTGACTACACTATCCTTTCAATGCTGAGGTCACAGAAACAGGTGCACTCTACTTCACTTGCCCCACAGACCATCACTGCAGGTTTAAAAAAAGGGAACTTCACATTACTTTATGTTTGTTGTTTAAAAAGAAACTATAGTTTTAATTCAGCAGTTCCATTCTAATTAAAATTTCTAATTGATAGTAACCACAGCAGTCAGTTACCTCTGCATCCCTTCTTTATCTTTTGTTTGTTCTTGCATAATCTCCTGTCTATTTTTGGCTTCTCTAGAGGTAGATACCACGGAGGAGTGTACAGACAGCTTAAAGAAAAACATAACGTGTTATCGATACAGCAGCAAAGATTATCTTTCTTCTTCTTTGTAAATTATTCTTTGTAATGTTGGGTTGGATTTAACATTGTCCAATACTGGCAAATTTAATAAGCTATGAGTTCCTAATTACTTTTTTTAATGAGTTTAGTATTTTGTATTAATTAAAAAGACTACTGTTAATTTTGACAAGAGCTTTTTTTTAAAGTTATATTTTAAACTGTTGTGGAAGTTAATATATAATACATATTATTTAAATGGGTTACCAGCAAGAACTACAATACTAAGAGGTAGATTTTTTTTATATTTCTATACTTATCATGAACACACTGACCTTATGGGGTAGCTCTTCTTCATATGGGCTGTCTTCCCTTTCCTTCCTACGTGCAGACGCTGGCACTGGACCTAACCTACAACAGCAAACAAATTATATTTCTTTAAATACTTCACGTTAATAGTTACCAATGTAAAAGCAGGATAGGCAGAGAAAATTAGAACAAAAAAATAAGTTGTTTGATTAGCCATAATGTTTGTGTTAGTGTGACAATTATTACCTAGAGAATGCTCCACCAACAGCTCTTCTCTTAGCTGGAGGTCCACTCTCTTCCATAATGCCACGTCTGCAAACAAACAAAAAGGTTTTTAAAAAAATTATTTGTTTTAAATAATGCAGAGGAATGGGTTTGCTAGCTAACAGTTAAGTCTTAAAAAAAACTGCAAATAAAAAGGTAAGCTTTTTTATTAGAATAATTTGGTAATTAGTGTACCTGGCCAAGCCAAATAGTCTGCCTCTACCTCTAGCCATTCTGCCAGAATAGCCTTCTTCATCTCTGTCATGTCCATCTCCACTTAGCATACGCCTTGGTCTTTGGAATGAAATAAACAAAGCTTAATTAATAATTAAGCTACATACATTTTGTGACATTTAAAAGGGGACATGAGTGTTAATTTTTCTTTAAAAGGTGTTGTACTCTCTCTAAAGCCTTTGGCCTATGTAAATATTCTTAACAGTATCAACTGTGAAAATGACGTAGTTTCCAATATGAGTCGACAGTTCAGGTTTCAACTTTTAATATTTTTATACTTTCCACAAAAAAAGAAAGTTTTTTCTTAATCAAAGACAAAAACATAGATTTCTTACGAGTTTCAATAAGATCATTTTCAATTAGTCAAGTAATCTATCCCGGTGTAATTGAATAATAAAAAAGTAACTGCTCCCTCTTACAAGTAAATGAAACCCATCTAACAACATTAATAGGATGTCTTACAAAATTTTATATTAATATTATTTATTTCATTGAAAAGTATATCCATTAAAAGTTCACAATACCCAAACAGCCTTAAGGCCTGAAAAAACTGACTTTAAAAAAATTGCTAACTCATTTCATGGTTGTCACTAATTGTAAAAAATTGAATGTGCCAATGTGGCATGCCAGTCAAGACTGTATCTCCTATAGAAGCTTTTATTATGGTTTCATGTGCTCATTTAACATATACGAGCCGACGCCGCTATTTAGTTGTTTTATTTTCTACTTTTCAGAAATTCATAATTTGTGAATTCGACAGTACCAACGCTACCACTGAAAATATTTGCTTTAAAACACCATCAGTAGCTTGATAAGGACGATAACCGCCCCTCCTTTCCCCAACCCCTACCCCCCCGTGAAAGTAAACTCCTCTTAGTTACCTCCCCTAAGTTTAAAATCGTTTCAAACTAAATTACAGCTTGGTGTTTTCTATCGTCTCCAAGAAGAGAATTATATATATAGATTTTTTTTTGCATTTTAAAAATTTGTTTTAAATTTGTTTGTTTTTAAAGCTGTATTATTATTTAGTGTGTCTTTTATTAAATAATAATGCGAAGAACCCATGTATTTTGAATTGGTTCGTTTTTAAAGCAGTATCATTTTTAGTGTACATTATTTAAATACTAATGCAAAGAACCAATTTTACTTCATTCTTTTAAAATTTTCAAAGATATATGTATATATATATATATATATATATATATATATATATATATATATATATATATATATATATATATATATATATATATTTATATATATATATATATATATATATATATATATATATATATATATATATATATATATATATATATGAAAAAAATGTGTGAACCATTCGTCAATGTTTTTAAATATTAGCTATGATGATGTAGAATGTGGCACAATAGAAATTTAATATTAGATTTAGCAGTCTGTGAAAAATAAATCAAATATCACATGCACTTACTTAAAAAATAAAATCCCAAACTAGTCACCACCCAAAGTCAAGTTCTATTACCTATATGATCGCTATTGAAATTCTATCTACACTTTGCATTTGTGTTATTGATTTATGCTGACGAGCGTTACATGAATATTTTCCTATTTTAATATTGCATAATTGGATAAATTAATTAAGTATTTCCATGGGAAGATAGGAATTTGTTGGTGTTTTAGTAAAAGCCCATGAACCACCGTGTTCACGATAAATCTAGATTCAGTATAAATTGTAAATTCAGCTAGAATTTGATTATTTCCAATTACTAATAATAAAAATTTAAATCTAGTTATTAATATTATTTTCATTTGCTTTTATTTTTATATAACTGTGTATTAAGGTTTAGATCTAGAAAGACTAGGCTAATAAATTAAATATGATAACCGCATTAGCAAAGGACGGCCTACTAAAAGACATCTAATTAGTTGGCTTACTTAGATCTAGTTAACAAAGTACTGGAACTTGCACACGCTAGTTTTCTCGACAAAAGAACGAAAGCAGGCTTGTGACAAATTTGCATAATTTTTCACTCACAAGTGATCAACTAATGTGATACGCATAGCCTAAAAAGCTATAAATAGATCAAGACACCAGATCTAGACACAAATTTTAAAAAACTCTGCCTTGATAATGATATGCATGGGTGCCACTCTTTTTTAAGCAAATCCTGAAAATCAATCCCTAAATTTTACCAACACTGAAACCAAAATTAGAAATTTATTAAAACCCTAAAACTTAATGTTGATAAACCGAAAAGTCTCGAGTTTGAATCCTCGGGCAGATGAGGCTCGTTAGCTGGGGATAGCCACTCTTCGAGGAAAGACAACGCCAAAATCAAACAACTGCTGCTTTGTAGTTTGTTCTTGGTTGGACAAAGGGTATGGAGGCAAATCCAAAAAGAAAAGTAGGCTGAAATCGGAGTCAACTGCCTCAATGGCGCTAACTAGTTGACACGTATATTTAATTGTGTTGGAGGCGTGGTCGAGTTGGCAAAGCTCATGGTTGTTAAATTCGAAAAGAAAAAAGTCTCGAGTTCGAACCCTATGGCAGAAAAGGTCGATCCCTTCCAACACTAAAAATTAAGAACGAAGAAGAATATTGTACAGAATTTTAAAATAGACAATTATTTCATTACATTTTTTTTAGACATTTGGTTCATATTATGTTTAAATTATTATATTATACAGAGTCCTTTAGTGGCCTTAATATCTCTGTAACAATCTTCAAACAAAAATTAATATTTCAAGTATTGTGTATATAACAAAATTTAAAATATTTTTAGACCCATCTCTAACCCATGTGATATTCTACAGCCCCTCCCCAATGCACATAAACCATAATAACATCTTGTTTAGAAATGTGTTTAGTAGGCCTGAACTATAAAAGGTGGTACAAATGTACACTCAGGGTTTATAAGGACTTGTTGAAAACTTCCAGGCATTATACAGATGTGTTAGTGACTAATTTATAAAATGATGAAACATATGTACCTTCATTATAAGTACAGTATAATGACATTTGTTTTGGGCAATTGAGCTAATGCTTCTATGGAGTTTCTCTTGCCAAATTGACAGAAAATGACTTTTCTAAGGTAACCTACCCCACTCCCCCCCAAAGTTTATATTATTAAAATAATTGATTAACATAAGGGAACAATTGTTTCCAACACTCAACTTATTTGTTTTCAATTAAATTATTACTAATAGTCATATTAATAAGGCTTAATAGTGAGAAGTAATTACTTAAAAAGAATAATAAAGTAATTTACTAATTTAGGTCTGCTGTTGTTGAGTAGCCTACACTTATTTACCCTTGGTCCTAGATGTAGTAAATAGTGTTTTGGAAACAATAGGTTACTTAAAAAGTAAAATTTGGAGCAAAAAAATAAAGACCAACTTTCTTCAGGTTGTATTCACACAAGTATTTATGCCATTAAAAATTACGAGTATTATCCCCTCCCCCCACACACACACACACAAGACATGGTGGAGGGGTCACTGTGAGATCACAGTAGTCCAGACATCAGCAGGCTGTCTAATATATCATAGCATGAACTGTACCGTAACTTTTATTCCCCCCCCCCAGTTAAACAGTAACAACAACGTACTTGCGGTCAAGGTTAGTTCACACAAGTGTAAATATCAGTGACAGTAGTTACATGGAGGGGCGGGTTAGTCTAGCCCTAACAGTCAGCATTTGCACATTTCAAAAAAACAGTTTTATGGGAAGTGAATAAAAAATTCTAGATTGTCGGTAACGTTATTACTAATAAATTCTGGGTCAATTGCAAAGTATCTATGTTCCTGGCTAAATGAGCTGTAACAGATGCTATATTACATTTTAAATTTTTTTTAATTAAAATTTCATCCAAGTCAAAGGCGCTATTTAATTACCGTTTCAGATACAAACAAACCGAAAGTATCCTGTAACTCCGCATCCATCCTACTATAATGTTGTATCAGTCATTTTTGTATTCCTACGCATAGCATTGGAGATAATTAAAATCCGGGTTATGAACCACGGTTCGCTCACGACAATCACTTTTTTTTCCCTTGCAGTCGCTTGACCATGCTTGCGCTGGGGCTTATTTTATTCGTTTAGTTTCTTTTGAATAATTGAAATAAATATTTTAGACGTTTATATAGTGTTGTTGGTTGTTTTATTAATTAATTGAAGGCCAAAAAAACAAATAGGAAGAGACTGAAATCAATTAAATTTATTAATATGTAGATCCGGATCATGATTTTTTTTCCAGATCTAGAATTATCTAGAAATACAACAATTTAAAGGAATTAAAATAAAGAAAACTAGAGAATAGAAAAATAATTTATATTACATTATAGAATTTATAGATCTATATACACAAGTACACCAGAACATAGATATTTTATTTTAAATTCTATACAAAAATTGCAATAAATCTTTAAATCTGTGTGATGCTTAGTGCTTGGGGCAACACATGTGGCACACAAAGTTAAACTGTTGTAGCTCCTCCGCATTTAATTTCTTTGCTGTTTGAGAGCAACACGTGTGCCACCAGGAATCACAGATATCGCACTGGACCTAAAGATTTCTAGTAAATCCAATAGATCTCATCTGGCTTCCAGAGCAGCATTCTTCTTCTGATATGTCATCAACGTTAGAATCGTTGCCAACATGTTCCTGACTTTCCATTTGATCCTTCTTCATCTTTTTAGCCCTTTTTTACTTCTCCGCCCCATGCTTCTTCTTTCTTCTCAACACATTCTCTTTTCTCTTTCTTTAATTAATTTCTGGGTTTCTTTCATATATTCTCTTTTCTTTCTTGCCTCCTCGTGAACCATTTTGCTGCACACCTTTTTTCTTTCCATCGCTTCTTTTTTCATTCTATTTCTTTTTTAACACCTCCCTAAACTCATGTCCACTGAGAATATTTCGGCTTTGTGGGGGCTAGGTTTTTTTTCCCTTTGCCCTTTCCTTTCTTTGTAAACATGGGAATTTTTAGGATGTCGTCCACAATCACTGACACCTTTATTTGGGGCGTCTCGGGGATATTTATTTCTCCCGTTTTAATCAGAGAAAGGGAGAGGCTTTTGAATTTTTAAAAATTTTCCTCTTCGTGATGACATGAATAAGATGTTGTTTGGCTCCCCGCAAGCTGGGTAAAAAAAGAAACCAGTTGCTTCATGGAAACGTCTGCTTTTTTAAAAAAAAAAATTCTTGTAATGCTCTTAGTTGTTGCGAGTTGAACTCGGCTTGATAATTTGTTGATATAATGGTTGCACTGTCCATGTAGTTATTATCTAAAATTTGAGTGGATGTTGATGGTTCATTCATAAGAGTTTCCAAAATTTGGGTGGATGTAGACTGTTCTGTGTCCATGAAGTTAATTATCTAAAATTTGAGTGGATGTTGATGGTTGATTGTCCATAAGTTGGTTGGATGTTGTCTAAGTGTTAAAAGGTGTGTGAGTGGCGAAATCAAAGGGGGGCAAAATAATTTGTTGGTCGCTAACTTGGGGTTGTTCGTGTGTGGGATTAGCATTGCTGTTTGCAGCGGCAGCATCACCTGCTGGCATGACATTGTATGATATGCTAGGCGCCAGCTTTCCAGAATTAAGTATTTTGTGTGGATTGTAGGGATATATCCCTGCAGATTCAAAACTTTTGGCTGCTATTTCTGGTGTGGCTGTTTTGGTCCAGAATGGTTTCAGGACTTTAGCAAAGGTTTCTAAGATGACCCCATTCCCTGTCTCAGCTACATGGACTCGGATAGCATCAGCCCAGACAGGCTTGATCACCCCAAAAAAAACTTGATCCAAGGGTTGGATTAGATGACTTGCATGGGGCAGCAAGCAGTACACAGTACAACAGTATGCCGTTTTGTGCGCACATTTCCGTCGTTTCCAAATGGGACGTATGGCTTGTGTGCCCATCTACCATAAGAAGGACTGGCTTCTTTAGATGATCTACACTTGGGATGAAGCAGTCCCTGAGCCAAGAGTGGAAAATGGTGGGTTAATCCATTCATTATCAGATAGCTGCAAGTTGGCCTCAGGGAAAGCTTCCAACAAGTTTCTGTTGGGCATTTTCTTATAAGGGTAGATTAGCATGCGAGGGGGGTACTGCCCAGCAGCACTGGTGCAGGCCAACACTGTCATTTGATTTTTAGTGTTGGGTGATGCTATAAACATGTTTGGAGCCTTTGCTGCATGCAATTACTCTGCGATTTTACATGTTAAAACCGAATCCGGTTTCATCAGCGTTGAAGATCCTTTCTGGGGACTTAAAAATAGTTTGGTCAATCTCATCCATGCAGCTCTTGAATGAGGAGAACCATTTCTCTATTGCTGTCGGAGTAATAATGGCGCTCTCTTTCCCGAGAGACAATGGGGTTCTTGTCAACAGCTGCGGATGGCGCTTCATAAAACCATACAGCCACCTAGTTGATGGTACTTCGGACTTGCTTTTTGACGCGGCGTTTCTTAGGGCCGTAATGGCTTTGGCTGTTTATTTGACTTCCTTGTGAGTCTTGCCAAACCCACACCGCGCCAAATCCACCAACCATTTTGCTAAACAGTTTTCCTCATCAGCTGTCAACATAGTAGGTTTGGTTACTTGAATAGGTCTTCTCCCCACCAATTTGTCTCGCAAGGTCAAAAACGGAATCCCAAATTGAGAAGCAGCTTCTCTTATCGACATCTCTTTTGATTTAATGTGGACAATTGCTGCATTGATAATCTCAGGGTCATGAACAACCCACTTGAGAGTTTGATTTTTTGACATTTTTACCTGCAGAGGAGGATTTATCTAAAATATTTTTTTTAAAAATACAGAAATTTAAAAAAAACTTTTATATTTTATTATAGATCTAGAGTATTAAGATTAATCCCTAATTAAGAAATGTCCCTAGTCTAGATCTCTATTTAAAATTAATGACTCTACTCGGATTTTTCATGAACGCAGCACTGGTAACACTAAAAAAAAGTAGACCACAGCTGCAATCACCCAATTTTTTCCTCTACGATAGCTCAAATAAGCTTAACTAAGGTATTTCTAGTGTGCTATCTAATATCTATATATAGAATCTATTTAAAGCTAACCCAGATTTGTAAGCTTTGATTGGTTAGATTTATTCAACTAATCCGGGGCCTAGTGCTCTTCATCCGGGTGATGTTACCTTAAAAAAAAAAAGTCTTACCAAGCAACTTTGGACATTTTTTTTGTCTTCTTGAAGGCAGAAACAAAAAGGGCTTGACCCGGATGTGTTTAAAAATAGTCATGCACAGTGCTATTTGCAGTAGTTCTATAGAAGCGAAAACCAGCCAGACGACTGCAGCGTTGGTCATAGCGCAAATCAGACGGCAACTCTAGATTCTCAGTACACTAGGCTTTAAATTTGTTTAGTTTAGCCAGCAGCTCAAAAATAAAAAAATGTATTCTAGAATCTAGATCTAATCTAGACTAGATCTATCTAGATGTAAACCAAGTGTTACCAAAGCTCAAGCCCGACAACCGCCAGCGTTGTCCAACTTGGTTGAGTAATGCAGAGCTATTTTTTTAAATAAACTTAGTCTCAGAAGCCTATTTAACTTTTTTGAACACTAAATCCTACCCTGGTCTACCGGGATCACGCCCGGTTAGCTTCTTGAAGTTTTCATTGTAGTATTTAAGTTTGTCTTTAGATTTTTCGATTTCGCTTTGCAAAACTTCCACTCCTGACAACTCCGCCATGTTTGTTTCGCGAAAAATAATTGTGTAAGCTTGAAAGCTCTGTATTCTTATTTAAAAAATAATTGTTTTTTTCAAAAAATGGGAAATATATTGAATAAAATAATACATTTTTTAAAACGTGTTTTGTTAAAAAGAAACTCGTTAAAATCGAATTTAAATTAGATATACAACTCGTTAACTTTGCTTATTTATAAATTATTTTCAACAACTTGAACTAGATCTAGATCTAGAATAAAGCTAGCAGCTATACGTACGACGGCTTAAACCTACGGGTTAGGTTAACACTAAATTTATAATCTTTATAATATCGGGAACTAAATCTAGAAAATAGTATAGAACTAGATCTAGGCTTTAATAATTTATTTATTAAAATGGCACATGAAGATATTTTTGTATTTTTTCATATGGAAATGGTAGATTTTATTCATAGAGAAGCATCTTTATCCAAAGATAATACACAAAAGGTAGATTATAATATTTACAGTGAGAATACAATTATAAGGGCTAAAGGGGGGCGTGGCTCTACGTCGCATGAAGTGAAGTACTTACAAGTACTCATTTAGTTCTATAGTCTATACTAAAGCAAAGTGACATACTTGCAGTAAGTTACAAGTGAATTCAATAGAATAGTAATTAGTTACAATAGAAGTAAGGTAAAAATAGATATTTTAAAAACATTGCCTTCTGCTACTAACAATACTTAGTCTTACTGCCTACATAACACATAACTAAAAATATGTGTATAACTACTATAACTCAGTCATTTGCTTGCATACAATGAATTAGATTTAATTAAAAATCTGTTTTGGTTCTAGAATTAAGATATGTTTATGTAGGCCTATATATACATTATTGGTAAACATCTGCTCAACTGATTAGGTGATCACACTATCTAGTTATCTCTCCAATTTTCAATCATTAATTATAGTAACCTTTATGTACACTTTTAACATGTTAGGCATTATTGTTGGGTATTCTTGTTTTGTCATATGAGATGCATTTGTCTGGAAAGTTTTATTAAAGGACACACACTTAGAGTTTTTGTTAGTTTTAAAGAAAATTGATTAAATTTGATTAAAAATTTATAAAACTAATAATACATTGCTCTATTTTTTACTCAAAATAAACTATAGCTTTCCGTTCCAAGGGAAACTACTCATGAAAACTTTTCGGCAAATAGTTCTGCCATGTTATATCCCCTTATAGATTTTTTAGATTGTTGTGATGGGGATGGGTGTCTTACTTTTTTGTGATGATGGGGGACAAGGTGGGGGGACGGGGTACTGGCTGGCGAAAAATTTTGGTCTATTTTATGAACATAGAATTCAGTTCCACAAAATACGCAAAATAAATTATAGCCCGGTTAAATTTAAGTTACAAGGGAAACCACTCAATTAATATTTTTTGCAAATAATTCTGCCTGGTTTTATCCCCTTACACATTTTATATAAAGTTATTTTTAGATTGTTATAATGGGGATGGTTGTATATTTTTTGTAATGATGGCGGGAGTGCGGAGGGGCTGGCAAAAAAGTGTTGATCTGCTTTATGATCCTAGAATGCAGTTACTCAAAATACTCAAACTAAGTTATGGCCAGGTTATAGTTCCGTTCCAAGGGAAACTACTCAATTAATATTTTCGGCAAATAATTTAGCCTTGTTACATCCCCTTATAGATTTTTTAGATTTTTATAATGGGTGTCGAACTTCTTGTTAGGCTTGGGGGGGGGGGGGGGGGGCTAGCAAAAAAGTCTTGGTCTACTTTATGGACAGAGAATGCAGTTGGTGATAAATGACACCACACAAACTGACAGCATTGCTTATTACTTTTGTTTTAATTTACTGTAAAGGCTTCATTAATATTACTCAAATATTGAAGCAACCAATAATTCAAAGTCTTGTAAGTCATTTTTTAAACTGGATTGTAGTGGCTATTTTATATTATTTTGTAATTCAAAATTAAAGCTATCAACTTTACTTAATCTTGATTTGCCATCTGAAAGGGATAGGAAACAGGTTCTGGCTTTTTGTTACTGTACCTGTGAGTGTTGTAAATGTTACAGCAAATATTAATGACCTTTAAAATACATCACATTGCTGAAAAATACTTCCTGCACACTAACACATATCTTCATATAACCAATCCAATAACCAATCAATAATTTCTTATACAAACACTTATATTGAAAACTAATCTTGAACAGGAAAAGTGGATATCAAAACTCGAAACTCTAGGTTATCATGTTGGACAAAGACTTATTGAGAGGTGAAAAGCAAAGTTATACATTCTTAGTTATACTTATCTTTCTAATTATTATATATTTTTATATTAAATATTAAATAAATAATTATAAATTATTTGGAAGCACTTAAATTATTTCCAGAAAGAATCATCAAATAACCATTTTTATTTCATGACTTTATTTTTTTTTTTAAATCACATACATGAAAGGTCATGGTATATGCATGTCAATTATTAAATGCAACATTTTATTTTTAACCTCATTTTTTTTTCAGATTTACAAAAGAATCTTCCCATTTTAAAGATGAACTTGACGTTATAAAGTTTATTTGTAAAGATCTTTGGAATTACATTTATAAAAAACAAGTTGATAACCTTAGGAAGTACCAACAGGTAACTTCACATGAAAAGGTTTTCGAAGTTGAATTAGTATATTTATACCTTTAAAACTTATAACAATAACAACCTATTAGATTTTTTAGGTCCAACATCCTGATGTTATTTAACAAAAAAAAAACATCATGTTATTTTCCAAGTAAAATTGATTTTTATTTTTTATATGCCAGTAATTTGATATCCATAAATTGATAACATAATTTTTAATGTCTTAAAATGTAAATTAACTCTAAAGTTTAATATCAGCTCACAGAATATGTTTTTACTCCATTAATAAAATCAGTTTAATGTAATTAGCTAAAAGTGGACTTATGAAGATTTTGTTCTCTGCCCTGTATTTTAGGGAGTTTATGTTTTACAAGACAACAAATTCACTTTACTTGTTCAGATGTCTACTGGTATTCAGTATATGGAATCAGCAGCTCAAGTAAGGTCATACTTTTTACTGAAATGTATTTGTTGTTCTAACGTATGTTTCTCTTGTATTTGCAATAAAATCTACAATTAAGCAATCTGTTTGGTGTATATAATGCTAACCTTCCATTACCATATGGCACATTATTATTTCCACTATTAGTTATGTCTAATCATATTTTAAGTATACTGTATCGTATAGTCACATATAGAGCAATCAAAGCAGCAGGTCTGTATATTTAGACTAAAGTTGACTTTAAAGTTTTTTGCACCTTCTGAATCGTGGACTGCAAAAAAAAATAATTGTACTTATGCAATGGCTAAACTTTGTATACCTAAACCTAACATTTTTAGAGCTTGGTATCAATGTGTGTTTAAAGGTGTGTGAAATAATTGTTTAAATATTAGTGAAAGGACATGTACTTCTTGTCTTAATTTTTGAAAACCAAGTAGGCCAAATAAGGACATATATGTATAATATATGTACTGCAATAATAAAGTTATTGTGTCTCTTGTTACAGTACTTGGCATTTCCATGTGGATTAATTAGAGGTGCCCTGTCAAATCTTGGTGTAAATTGCATAGTAACAGCTCAAGTGAGTGCTATCCCTGCCTGTGAGTATACAATTATAGTTAATAATACATTTATAGTAGGCTTACATAATATTTTGTTTTAAAGTTTATTGTTCATTTAAATACAATATATCTATTTAGAGAACATTGTAAAAATCAAATAATTATCATTTATTTTAGCAACTTGTATTTGTTTATTATAAAGATAAAAAAAAAACCTTAACTTAAATTTGTGTTTGGACATAAACAATCTTAGATAGAAACAAAATCTTTTCTTTTAAAAACATACACTAGAAAACTGTGAAAGCTTTCAAATTAACATTGTGATTTTGTCTTATACAAATAAAGATCTAGTAATGATACCATAATGAATGCCATATTTACTTATTTTTCCACTAATATTACTAATGTAACATTACTATTATGTTTGCTTATTTTATTTTAAGAAAATTTTGAACTTATTATTGCTATTAACAAAGTTTTATTTTGTTGTTGTTACTTTTTTGACACTAATATTATAAGAAAATTTCATAGTTATTACATTTTCATTGTAATATTTTCTCTTCTGTACAGGCAAATTTCAAATACAGATTCAAAAAACATGATAAGTAAAAAAAAAAAATAAAGGACTACACTATTTATACAAATGAGTTGTAACTGACAAAGAAAATAGAAAAAAACTAGCAGAATGTGTTATATGTAAGAATTCTAATTTCAGGGATGATTTTTTTTTTGTAACATTGTTGCAAATTATTGTAAATAAATATACAAAAACTATTTATTAATTAAGCTCATTTTATATAAATGTGCATGTAGGAAAACCACAGGTAATTACACTTCACACCTTTTGGTCTTGCAACTGTTTTTACCTTAGCAATTTTTTCATAGATTTGTATTTTTGTTCAGACAACTGCATTCCATAAAAATACAATTCTTTATTGTCTTTGGTGGCCTTATCTCTCTCATTTCCTCTCCACGCCCCCCCCCCCCCCCCCCCCCCCCCCCCCCCCCACCCATAATAACATATTTTCTATTATTTTACTCTTATATCATGTATTATTAAATAATAATAATGAGCTTGTAACTTGTAAATAAATTGAAATCATGAAAATTCAAATGCTTTTGGAGTCTTATATTTTAAAATGTGTCACATAAAGCAACAAACCAAAAAAAAACATTTTAGTCTAGAGTAGTTAAGCATGATTATGTTAAGCCTCATACCAAAATATGACTAGGGTCAAGTTTAAAGTTAGTTTGGTTTGGCCTCAACTATAAGTTCAGTGTTTCTTCCAGACTTTTTTCTCCTGGGGAGGGGGGGGGGCGGATACTGTTAAAAGTATATATTTTCTATATAAATTATATAAAATAAATTTCATTTAGTTCGGGGGAGCGGTAGATTTTTTTCGTGGGGGGGGAGGGGCTTTGCCCCAAAGAGATGCCTGGAAGAAACTCTGAACTAGTTCATTCAGCATCTACAAAGGCAGTGTTTAAAATCTAGTTTCTTGTTCAGTTTTGATAGAAACCAATCTCAAAGCAACCTTTTATTTCCCTCCTTCCCCTTCCCAAATAAACATTGCATTCCTGTGAACAGTTTTTAAAACTTTGAAGAATGTTTTATAAGCAGGCCAGTAGCCTTGACTTATTAAGCCAGCAGATTTTTTTTTATGAATTATTATTTTCCCAAACATATAATAATCATTTCATATCATTATGCTTATATTAATTGAAGGTATCATGCATTATAATATAAATAAAAGTGGTCCTTTTGGCCAAATTTGGGTTTTATTATTTATTTTATTTTAACCTTTTTAAAAAAAAAAATCAATTTTGACATTTTATTCATTTATTTGTAATGTTTTATCAAATATCTCCAAAGTAACTTAGTATATTAAAGAAAGCTAATACTAAATAATATCTCGAATGTGATGAAAATGTTACATTTTAAGCATTGGGTAAGATTTGGCTTTTTACTATTTAATAATATTCATGTGCAAATATTAAATGTTACCTAGTTCATTAAATAATCTTTGGGATTTAGAGCAACCCTAACTAGATTTCTAGATCTATTCACACAACTAGAAGAAATTTACAAACAAAAATGGCAGACGAAGTGATATTTGAGTTTCTTCATATGGAGATAGTCGAATACATACACAGAGAGGCGTCTAAAGAAGACAAAGTACTATACGTCTAGATCTACTTCTTTACTTAATAAGTTACTATTTAAATTAAATCTATTAGGCCTACTTCGTACGTTAAACCGTCAGAAAAAGCATGCCTAAAAACTTTGTAATAAAAATAAGACCAAAAAAAACTTAAAGTCACAACAAAAACAAACAAAAGTAAACACTAATCAAACAATTATTAAAATGAATCAAATGATTATGTTACAAAAATGCAATATTCTTAATTTCTTAGCAATATTACTCAGTGATACATGTAATTTATTGTAGTAAACATTAGGCCTAATCACATTTCTTTTGCATAGATCAGAGATCTAGCTAGATCAACCTTTTTATTTTATAAAATGAACAATAGGGTAGGCCTACTCTATTTTTTAAAAAAAAGTCATGATAAAAATATGCAAATTAAGGCTGATTCTAGCCAGAAAAAGATATGGTTTCAAACAAACTGCAGAACCATAAGCCTAGCAGAGATAATTTAAGGTCACTGCGCATGCGCAAAACTATTGTCTTTCGTATTTTCTGCCAAAAAATCTTTTTGTGAGTAGTCACTTCGTAAAATTAAAAACACATAGATCTAGTCTAGATCCGTGACATAGAAATATAGATCTATAAAAGTATAATTATAATTTCTTAAATTAGCCTATAGTATAATAATTAATATATCATTCATAGCTGCCCTCTTCCTAACTCTAACACACTACATATTTTACAATAAAAGCTGTCATTTCTAAAAGCATTTTTTAAACTCCTAGATCAAGATCTATATCTAACTGTATCCCCTGCATAAAGCTTGCTTTTAAAATCAATTCTTAAATTTTTATAGACTATAGAGGATATGCAGTCATTTGTAATGTACTTCTTAAAATTGATGCCTACATTGATAAATTCCATGATACTTTGTGTAAAGACAGAATCCTTAGTAATATAAACAACAACATGGATATTTCTGTGTGTTTACTTTTAACAGGATCAGTGTATATCAAAATTAGAGGCTCTTGGATTCCGTATAAAAGTATAATTATAATTTCTTAAATTAGCCTATAGTATAATAATTAATATATCATTCATAGCTGCCCTCTTCCTAACTCTAACACACTACATATTTTACAATAAAAGCTGTCATTTCTAAAAGCATTTTTTAAACTCCTAGATCAAGATCTATATCTAACTGTATCCCCTGCACAAAGCCTGCTTTTAAAATTAATTCTTAAATTTTTATAGACTAGAGGATATGCAGTCGCATGTAATGTACTTCTTAAAATTGATACCTACATTGATAAAATACATGATGCTTTGTGTAAAGACAGAACCCTTAGTAATATAAACAACAACATGGATATTTCTGTGTGTTTACTTTTAACAGGATCAGTGTATATCAAAATTAGAGGCTCTTGGATTCCGTGTGGGCCAAAGTCTCATTGAAAGGTGAGTTGAGTTTTTTTTTAAGTGGGCTGATACCTTAAGTACAAATAACCCACTACTATCCTATGATAAATACACATTTTACAGCTGATATGTATTTTATGTAGGCCTATAGTAATTTTTACTGTAACTGTAAGGTGAATTTGATTGCAAAAGTGACCTTTCCTCTTTAATAATTATGGTAACTGTCATATTGTAAGAAAAATTTGTTTAAGCATTCTACCGCAGATTATATATCATTTTGTCATCATAATGTAACATAGTTGATTATAAAATACGGCAGTTTAACCTTGTTAAGCTAGATTGATGACTTTTCCTTTTTTTTTATTCTAATAGTCATAATTTTATTTTCCCTGGCGTTGAGATACCACGAGAATTAAAATGTATTGTTTTTAGTGGTGTTTTGATGATTTTCTCAACAGAGTTGTTTAAAATATCTGACAAACTCAGTCAGCAAGTGGGGTTTTAACTAGAAGTAAAACACACATGCTTGACCATTAATATTCCTAATTTATCCTCTCACTATTTTGTTACATTTAGATTCACCAAATGCACTTGTTACTGTGATTACCTCCCTTCGCCGTATCATTATATAACTTTAAATATTTATTTACTAGTGCTCTTGTTTTCCATGACACCTGCTATACCATATCATTCTCAGACTTCCTATTCCTTATTACATTTTAGATTCACCAGAGAATGCTCTCGTTTCAAAGATGAACTGGACACAATGAAGTTTGTATGTAAAGACCTCTGGAATCTAGTGTATAAGAAACAGATTGATAACCTGAGGACGAACCATCAGGTGCATGAAAATGCTCTTTTTTTGTTTTGTAAATAACTACAACTATTAATAAAAAAATTTAAATAATTAAAATTGTTTTAGAATTATCTTTAATCTTTCTTTGCAAATTATAAAGATAATAGGCCTACTTGAAAATGTTTTTAACAGCTGAGATGTTTTTTTTTCTGTCTTGTAATTTTTTTAAATATGAACCATCTTAAATATATTGGTCCAGAAAAGTATTGGAAACAATTTTATGAAATATTTATTCCAGGGCGTCTATGTGTTACAAGATAACAAGTTCAAATTTCTTGTACAAATGTCAACAGGGAAACAGTATATGGAATCTGCGCCAAAGGTTGGGGTTCATTCTTTGTACTTAACCCATTTCCTTCCTGTGTGTCTAAATGGCACCAGAGATTTTTTAATGTGGTACTGTCTGAAGCGCCTATACCATAATGAATAGTACATTGAATTACCTGTTGTATTGGTAACAAGATTTTAAAGGTACTGACGGAAGCAGGAAATAATAGGTTTTATTTATGTGTTTTTATGATTTTCTAATTTTTTATCACTAGCTAGCGTTTTTAATAGTTTTTCTAGGTTTAATATTTTTTTCAATTTATTATTTTATAATATTGTTATTATGCTCAAAAGTAGTTTTTTTAAAATGATATGGTTAAAAATGCAGCATCATTTTGCTTGGTCATTGTGTAAGTAAAATTTTTTGTAATGGCTTAAAAATGAAGATAATATATAGGCCTACCTGTAAAAAATGGTATTAAAATGTTCACTTTGTTTCAAATCATCCTGATCCAACATTTTCTTTTACCCACTTTTCCATATCCTTAGTATTTAGCTTTTCCTTGTGGGATGATAAGAGGTGCTCTGTCAAATTTAGGAATTAACTGCATCGTTACAGCTGAAGTTAGTGCTATGCCAGCATGTAAGTAGCACATTTGTCAAAGACAGTGTTTAAGATATCTTTTTCATTTGTTTGAATGATGATGTGTTCAACAACAAATACAATAATTGGGTCTACGGTCCTTAGAGCAGCATCAACACTTCATATGTTGTGTTTACCTACCATTCATAGACTAATCCTTTCAAAGCTGACCATTCATGGACACATAATCCCTTCATATGCTGACCCTTCATGGACACATAATCCCTTCATATGGCGTGTTCACTGCTATCACTGACCATTCATGAACTCGAATAATCCCTTTCAATAATCACCAAATCTGAGCCATCTCCTCTGTGGACATCATTTGCTTTACTTGGGTACTAAAATTTATAAAACCTCTCAATCATGTACCTGTTATATATATTTGATCCCTTCCTAAAAAAAAAATACTTATGAAAGCAAATCTTCACAGGCAAGTTTCAAATACAAATTCAGAGGACGTGATGGTCTGAAAGTTTTTACTTTGGAACAAGTGCTGGGTGCAGAGACGGATGCAAGAGAAGTTGTAATCTCAGATTGTGCAATAACACAAAACTGTTTTCTAGTATGTTTCATTCAATATAAAAATCTGTAAGTGATTTTGATGCACATAATTCTCCTTTGTGGATGTATTTTTTAAGTGCTAAAAGAAATGAAACATTTTTCAGTAAGTAAAGGAATTCACTATCTACAAATAACTTTACTTTTGTTTTTATTGCTGGCTGTAATATTTATTGAATTACAAATGTGAACGACCTTACTCTATGAGCATCTCTAGGTTCAAACACTTTGCCACTGTTACGTGTGGCATTGGGAAGCATTGGCTTCACTGAACAGACAGCTGTTTTTGTTGTTCTTTTTACATTATTTTTTAAGTGGGCTATTTTATCGAATTGAAATTGTAAACAAAATGAATTTATCTGTAAAATATGTTCTAAATAGTATGTCTAGATTTAAAATTGTGTTGTGAATGTAGCTGAGAAATACATGAAACTGACATTCCAGGTCACAGTGGCATTCATTCTCTGGTAGCTGGGCCATTGGATAAACTGAATATTGTCTGTAAATAACCAGAGAGAAGTGAGGATGTAATTTTTTTTAAATAAATTTCATGCTTCTGTATGTATCATTTAATGTTAATGATTTATATGCGCAGTTTGGTTTGTACTCTAGGTGGTACTGTATTTACTTGAGTATTTTGCCATTTTTTTGTCAACCAATAAAAATTGTTTAATGTCGACTTGATTCCATTGATTCTTTGAGAAAGCACAAATTTATTTAAGTCGTGTATGTTGGTTAACTTGAAAATGTTTATTTTGAACTTTGATAAACAGATAATTTTTGCTACTTAAGACATTAATGATGGAACAATGTACAAGAATGAAATACAAAAGCTCGCTTGACATCTCTCATATGACAAGAAAATACATGAAAACACTGAATTAAACAACAATTTTGTATACTACAACAACTCATTCAATCATTTTGGTAAATAAGAATACATTTCAAGACAACAGTAGGTGCTTTACAAGTGTAATTTAAAAAATTCAAACGGTCAACGACAAAGCCACAACAATTGAGTGAAAATATTCCTGGACTTTTAGTGTCTACATTTCAATAAGCTTGTATTTAACAAAACCATACAGAGTTCCACAATAAAAATTAATTTAAAAAAAAATGATTGGAAAAAAATGCTTACATTCAATTTAAAAAGTCTGCACAAACAATATTGTAAAGTACAACTCATTTAACTGATATGATAAACCGTTAATGTAAAATTGATGACCAGTTAATGTAAAATTATGTCCAGAAAAGAAAATGTTACTGATTAAAATGATGGCTTCTAGATGAAAACACTGCTCATGAAAAATGTTTATATGGCAATCATATGGCAATAACGTAAGGTTATCTTATGTATCATTTACTGAGGTAATTTCTGTTAGTATTACTGTGTTAACATTAACACCCACCTCCTAAAAACAAATTTTTCTAGTAATAATTTCTTTTCTAAAAAAAATTATCAAAAGTTGCTTTGTCCTAAAGATAACCACTTTTGTGCAGTTCACAATATCACTGACAAAATAATATCTCAGTTTAAAAAAGCACACTAAAATATTTTCATTTTTACATTAATAAAACTTTGTTTGACATCAATTTTCTTTCTCACAAAAACCATACAAACACCAATTTTTTTTTTTAATATATCTTATAAATATGTTATAAATGTAATTAAAAGAATTTTTTTTTATTAAGAACATCAAAATAAAAATATCTAAAATAAAAATATCTGTTTGTCATTAAAGCTTTCATTCAGCCAGCATAGAGTTATCTCTCACAAATGTGACACAGTATGACAATTCTCTCCTTATTCTAACACTACTTTCAATAATGCAAACTAATTAAGCATTTGTGAACAGCCAAAGTGACTATGACTGGGAGAGAATTACAAAGCAAGTTGTTACAAAAACATGCAAGCACCATAAACATTCTGTCATCATGAGGATAGAAATGTAGATGGGTCAAAGTAAGAATGCAGCTCTAAATAAAACAGCTCAAAAGCATCAATAACAAAATGTATTTTTTTTTAAATGTACACAAAAAGAAAAAGTTACAGTAAATTGGTCAACTTCAAAATATTTTTTATTCTTCTGACAACAGAAAAAAAAAAGTTTAAAAAATATAACATTTTCAACAGTTAAAAAAAAAAATTACAGAGATTCCCCCACTAACATGTAGTAAACCTTTCAATAGATTTTATAATGAATTGTATTTTTTCATGAACACAATGGGTATTATAAACTTCTATTAAAGAATGTATGTAGCTTAAAAATTAAAACATTTTTGTTGTTAGAACCCTCCATCAAAGAGCAAACGATTAACATTTTAATACATGAATATATGGAAGCTGCTGCCAAACAGGGGACAATAACCCAAGGGACAGAGCAACAGTGACATACAAAGTAAACAAATCTAATGAGTAGAAGTCCTGTTTAAACAGTTCAGCTTCAACAATTTAAAAACAAGAAACAGAGAAAACAATGACATGAAAGTAAACAAATCTAGTGGGTCTTGTTAAACTGACCAGCTCATGGGTTTTAACCATTGTATAGAACAAGATATCTGATGGCTACTTGATCTGCATTGTGTATGATGTACTCATTATGGTTGATTCTGGCTGGGGGGTGATAGTTCATCTTCTGCACTTGGCCAAGGGACAGGGTTGCACCTGAAATAATGCAAGAACATCTTAAATACTGTTCAGAGGTTTGAGGGATAATCAGTGCATAACATTCTTTTTTTTACCTTCACTCATCATTACACTGAGTCACATAGATTGGTTACTACCTGATGTGACATAAATAGTGTCATGGCTACTAAAATGTAAACTGGAAGCAGTTTTTGAAGGGGTGAAAATGTTTTTAACAACTTTGCTATATAGAAATGAAAGTAATTTGATGAATGTCAATTTCACTACCTACAGCACATTATATCTCCACTTTTAAAAATTGTTAAAGTAATACTTGTTCTACTTTACTTCTTTTCAGCAGTTTTTTTTATAATAGCAGCATTGAACAGAGCAAAAATGTTAACTTTTTATAAACATTCTCCCATTTCTATTTTATGCTTATGTAGTCATCATATACATTCGATTTCTATCTTATGCTTACCCAACAGTTAAAAAGAACAGATTAGCCAAACCAAATATAAAAAATCCCAATATGCAAACTCAAGGTTATATTGATCAAACCCTTACCAAAAGGTAGTTTTGCATCAAAATCTGGCACAGGTGCATTTTTGCCCAGGATTTTCAAGCTGTTGATGTCATCATCCAGGTGGTCCTCATCCCCATGTTTCACGTCTATCTTGGGATTTCCCAATGCCACCTACAAGAACATAGTACATTCTAGTTTACCTCTCGTCATTTACATCTTACTTATTCACTTCCTAAATGTAAACTTATTACTAAAATTATAATTAATTTTTAACACAAGGCTTCATGTAAAATAATAGAACAGAGATGACTTATAAAAAGTAAAAAGTTTACATGTTATCTAAGAGAAAAATGGAATGAATGATTACCTCACAGAGCAGCATAGCCTTGCAAGTAGACTTTGGACTGTGATTATGACAATAGTGTGAGCTCTTCAAAAATGTATCAGCAAAATATATGCCCTGAATTAAAGTAAAGAGGAAAATGTTATAATGTATCGAGTATATCTCTGTAATATAAACTAAGTAATACAAGAACATCCTGATGTGCTGGTAGTATTAATGATGAAAGTAATGTAGAGTTATCACTGGACTCTTTTCCAAACTAAGTGCTTGCAAAAAGATAAAAGCCACCCACTGGCCTAAAACCAACTTCTAATGGTAGAGTAATAGAAGGGTTGGAAAAAAAAGAAGAAAAGATGGTGCTGGATGTGGCATGTCCTAAGAAAAGAATGAATCCACGAATGGTGCTAAGCTGAACGCTTCAAGGAAAAAAAAGCAGGGAAGGCAAAGGGAGATATGGAGGCTTACAACTAGCAACTGAGGGACTGCCAGGAAAATTGTCGGTGACCAACAAAAGTTGAGGGAGCTTTCTGTGGCGGCCACATGTCTCAATAGGGCTTAAAAGGAAAAAGATGATGATGAATGTAGAGCTATTAAGTACCCTTGTATGGCAGATAGTTCACCACCTGTGCTGTATGAAAGGACCTAACAGGTCAGTAAAATGCCCAGCCCCCTATCAATAAACACTCAGAACTGGGTGGACACAGGGAGGCTCTATGGACTCGCCTGGGAACAAAACTAGTCATGTAATCACTAGTTCTACCAGTTGTCACTGTGTCTTTCAACATATCCCTCTAAAATGACTAGTGCTTACCTCTCCAAACAAATGACCAGTCCAAGGAACCTCTGGTGGAGTGACCAAGAGACCCAGAGACAAGATGGACAGGAAGTTGGACATGCTGCTGCCATGCCAGAGCAGTTGGTGGTTGGGCAGTTTCAGGGCAGCAAGTCTGGCATCCTCACCTGCTCTGGACACTTTAAAGATCCTGTTGATGTTGGCTGTTGGGACTGAAACCACAAAGGATACTTCGTTATTAGATTGTAACATATTCTACGCAAGGGTAGAGAAATAGTACACTGTACAGACTGAAACCACAAAGAATACTTCGTTATTAGATTGTAACTTATTCTACACAAGGGTAGAGAAATAGTACACTGTACCGACTGAAACCACAAAGGATACTTCGTTATTAGATTGTAACATATTCCACGCAAAAGTAGAGAAATAGTACACTGTACCATTAACTAAAAAGAATGATGTCCTCTCCCATTGGCAAAGAAATATTTTCCCGAAGTTAATTATAAAAATAAACACTGATATGATAAGATTCTAGATTGTCTATACATAAGCATGACAAAAACTTTTACATATTCCATCAAGGCTATGAGCTATCTTTTCTGGTGTATAAAAATGGTGGCAAGGAAACCATTCAAAAAGGTTTATAATTACAAGGATTGCAAACTACTTATGAAAAACAAAGCTATACAATTTACCTGTGGCATGTATATTTGTAAGAATAAACTGAGCTTCAGGGTCATCTTCCAGCAATGGCTGTATCCTGCAATCCAGACTGCTATAAATATAATCCATTGGATTCATTTCTGCAGAGGATATATACATGTTTTATTAATAAACAAAGCTAAACCAAATTCAGAAGAAGATACACTGTTTAAATTTTATAACAGACTTGGGAAACTTGTAAGTGCAAACAGTCTAAAAGCGCAACACCTATCTACATTAAAAAAAAGATTAAAAAAAAAACAAAAAAAAACTGACCAGCCTTTCTAAGATTGGCACCAAGGAGAATATTGTTAGCCACTTCCAGGTCCATTAAGTCAGCAAGGAGTTTGGTGTGATCCCTGAGCATTTTCTTGTCTGCTATTGGCTGAATTGTTTCATCCTCAAAGCCGTAAATGGGAATTAGGTGATAATATTCATTTGTCAGCTTTGCAATCTGGTAAAAAAAAAGTTATAATTTTAAACACTGAAACATAATTAACTTAATATCTTAAGTTAAATAAGCACTAGAATTAAAACTTCAACAATTTTTTTTAAAAGACTGCTGCTTATTTCAATACATGACATCTGAAGGAAAACAAAGAATGGAGTGTGCTTGTGAGTTTCAAGTAAAGCAGCTCTAAACAAACAAATAGTGATACAAAAAAAGTGTCCCTCACCTCTTCACAATTACTTTGGTATTCTGTGCCGACATTAGTTAACAAATTGTTTCTAAGTTTAGTAATTTTTTCTATCAGGTCACTGAAAAAGAAGTGTGAGTTTATTAGATAACAGGACTTTGAATAAAGTAATAGATAAAATAATTTTTCAAAATACTTAAGAATCCAAGGAATTTTCCTTGAGGTTTTCTAAATATTTTCAAAATACTTTACAAGTGACAAAAATTATTTTACCCAATATCTGTTAAAATCTTTCTGGCATTGAGTAGAGTTTCTCTCTTCATGCGACCAAATGGCATGAAGTCTTCATTTAGTCCTACTTTCTGTACAGAGGCTAACAGCATATTAACGCTACTCTGTAAAATATAAACAAGAGCAGTAAATAACCTGAAAGAAAAATAAAGCTCGTAGCATTGACTTTTTCAAACTCTGCTTGAACTGGATTAACAAATTTTAGTAATTCATTTTTGTAGGTGTAAATGGCTTTAAACATTTGTAGTGTGATTAAACGTAATGTTCGCCTTTAGACATAACGATCTATGGTCCAGAGTTTATGTTTCTTGACCTTGGGATATGAACGGATGGTAAGGTCAGCACTATGCCCAGCAGCCTTTGCTTTCCCTAATGTTAGTTAGCTACCCATAAAAGCTGGATAGACTCAGGAATGTCCTGGAGACTCAAGAGTCCGGTCTGAGAAAAGAACCCAAGACTTTCAGGTTAGCAGTTGAGTGCTCTACTATTCTACCACACCATCCCATTCTCAAATGATTACTAATGACATTTTTTTTTAAATTTGACAGTTAAAAAGCGTGTCTGATGGGTTGCTTATAAACAATTGCAAACCCACAGGTGATGGTGGCATTTAAAATGCAACAGAAAAGGTTTTTTTTTAAATAGAAAGGATTTTAAAAATTGGGGTCGGGGGATGGGTGTCTGGCTTCTAGCAATGATAAATGGGTGAGTATTAAAATAGCGTATAATAGCATGACATTTTTAAAGGACTTCCTTAAGGACAAGAACAGTTATAATCAAAGAGTATCACTTACAAATTCTGTTAAGAGGTCAAAGACAGGCTCTGGAAGTTTTGATGGTAATGATGACTCGAAATTAAACTCAATTTTCTGCTGCTTGTATTGGTGTTCAGGTTTTGGCATTAACCGGTACTTCTTGGCATGATTTTGGAATCTGGGGATTTTTTTTTCATGATTTCAATTTTAATACAACATTTCTCCTCTTTTTAAATTCCAAGTCTCCATTCTAAGAAAAAGTTTTAACTTACTTGCTTAAATTGCTCCAATCATTGCCTGTTTTAGACTTAAATATTTTACAGAATTCTTTAGCTGCCTCCTGAAGTGTCTGGTAGGGTGTGTGCTGGAACTGACCTCTGTCCCCAATGCGACCCCAGCGTGTGAACAGAATAAACAAGTTCTTTGTGGTGTGACAAATTACCTGCAGGAAAAGAAGGCCAACGTGTACACTGGACAAAACTCAACAGAAATATAAAACAGGATGGTAGTGTTGAACAAGGCCCACATGCAAGCATCACAAGAAAAAAGGCTTACCTGCATCTTGTAAAAATTATACATGCCCCAAGCGCCAGCCGAAACATCTACCTTACTTAATGTGACGTCATAAGGAATGTTTGTGGTAGGGTTTCTAGCCACTTCCCTGCAAGACATTACCCTTTTTTTGGATTGGAATAAATGGAGTGTTTGAAGGAAGAATTACATTTTTGCAACCAGCACCAGTATAAAAAAACGGTCCACATGCAGCTGCGTTAATTTGTTAGTTTTTGCCTTTTCATAAAATTTATGACCTCATCATTTCAAATGAATTAAAAACAAATTATAAGCATTGTTAGGTTTGATCAAAATAGTAATAAAGACATGGTTACATATGATCAAAATCTAAACAACCTTACTATTTCACATCATGGTGTTTTAGTACCTTCATATTCATTTTCTAGAAATTTTAAAATGATTATATGAAAAGGCAAAATTAAATTTATCCACTGCAACATTGGATATGAAAATACATGATTATTCTCCATAAAAAGAAACAATTTGGTGCAGTGCCAAAATGTAAAAATTGATGGAAACTTAATCAGGGTTAGCATGAAATTATAAACATTGCATTCATTATTGTTTATTAAAACTGCCCAATCTGTAACTAATAAAATCCAATGTGTACATACCCTGAGTTTTTAATTTCACAGTTTGTGTCCACCTTTGGTAGGTATTTGTTTTCATCTTTCACCTGGTCATCTTTGTCCAATTTCTTTAGCATTTCTTCAGCATCGGCCTTGGTATCAGGTTTGGTTAGGCCAGTGACTACCTCTGAGACTACAAATGGCTGAGGATTCTGTGCAGAAATTGATTAAGGACATCATTTAAAAATCAACAGTATTTAAAGCCAAAGTATTGAAATGAGGTGTATTTGTATTGTGAACAAATACAATTTAATAAGCTTTTTAATACTAATTTAGAATGTGATAAGGATAATTACTTTCAGAAAAATTAAAAAAAAATAAAAAAAATTAACCAACTGACCCCAACATAGGGCTGAGGTTCTTTGTTATAAGGCTCCAGCACCAGTAATTTGTTTAGCACTTTCACAATTTTCTCGGCATTGGTTTTTTGAGCCAGCTGCATGGGTGTCTCCCCAGCTTTGTTTTTGGCTTCCAGTGGGGCACCAGCCTTGCCCAGGAGGTAAACTATCTCGGCATTGTCAAAGGTTGCATGGTCAAGGGAGCATACTGCGTGGTGGACAGCTGTCCAGCCATTCTTATCTGACACAACCAAATCTACAGGACTAGTTTTCTGTATGCTTGTAAACTCCCCTGGGGATTATCAACAAAGATAGTGAGCCACAAGAGCAAGGATGCATTTTTTTAAAAATAACAAATAAAAAAACAAATATCATATTTGCGTGTTTGTTAGTGAGGAGTTATTAAAAAATATTTAAAATTGTAATTGTAAAAGCATTTCTTAAGGTTTATTTATATTTTTTTAAAGTTAATAACATTTGAACATTAAAAGTTTTCAAAACATGGGACCACACTATTCTAAACTTTTTGTACAACACAATGCTTACACTTGCAAAATATACTATAAATGTCTATAGAAAAAAAATCGCAGGAAGTTAATGTAGGCCTACATAATCAGCAAGAAAATTGTTTTAATATAACATTTAATTTGCTACGAATTTTTTTCTTTCACGTATAGTAAACATGTTGCAAGTCTAAATGTGGTATAATAATAGAGCAACAGCTGTAAAAATGTGTACTCACTCTCTTTGTTCATCTGTGAGACATGTCTGGTGAGAGACAGCTTTGTTATGGCACCTGTTGGGTTCACACTATCATTCTCTTTTGACACTGCCACAGCTACCACTTTATCTACTTCCTCATCTTCCACAATGTCTGTGTCATGGTCACTGTCATTTTTATCTTCTTGTTCCTCATCATCCACATCCATGTTCTCATCAACAACTGGCTCTTCGTCATCTTAAAAAGGTTATAATATTTACTTGTAGAACACTAAAAAATAATTATCTACATATTGCTACAATTGTTGATCATGGAAGAGAATAGACAATATGCATTTTGAAATCATACATTATGAACATCACACATACATTGGTTGAATAACAAACCACAACGATTTATAAGTGTTTGGACATTTCTCTCTGATACCATTAAACCACATGTCCTATGACCCTTATGCAACTGAGATTTTTCTTATGGGGTAATGTCTGATTGGCATAAATTATATATAGTACATTTATTTTCACATGGTAATGGAAGTGTTCCGGTTAGTAATATTTTTAAGATGCTGGCGGAAGCTGGAAATGCTACATTTTATTTACTAATTTTTCTCAGTGGTCTATTACTAGCTGTTGAGTTTTTGATGATTTTTGTTAAACTAAGGAAATTGTTTTTTGAAATTAGGGTAATATAAATAATAAAATTAAAGCTAATTTTTTAGAATTTAAAATAATTTCTTTACTGAAATAATAGCAAAAGTGTGGTATGTTTTTTCTAGGTTTGATATTATTATATTATTTGTGAATTATTATATTCTTCATTTTAAAATATAATAAACTATAATAATTCTTCTGTAAGCCTATATTTTATAATATCTGTGGATAATTTACGTTTTTTTAAAAGTATTGTGGTTAAAAATGGAAGTAACAATGTACTTGATGTCTAGACAGGAAAGGGTTAAATACAAGGACAGTGACATACCATGGTCTTCCAGGTCTATCGAGTTCTCATTCTCCTCAGAGTGCTTTGACAGGGAAACTGCATCATCCTCAGATATCTGTTCCTTGACTTCCTCATCTAATATATCATCTGGATTTTTCTCTTTTGGCACCTCAAAGTTGATGGTGATAACCTTAAAGAACACATTTTTTAATAGTTAGTAACTTCTTCAAAATCAGTGTCATTATTTTAGAAAGGTTTTATTTGGCTTTAAAACAGTAAGATTTTAACTTCAAGACAAAAAAGCTGTGCATGGTGATCTTACCTGCCTAGAGAGTTCCTTTGAGAGCAGTGGCCTCAACGCTACATTTTCAACTGGCTCATCAGACTCCAACTCATAGGTGTAGTTTAACAGCAGCTTGACCATCTTAACATCATTCTAGAAGATTACATTTTTTGTATAGAAAAACACATTGTTTGCAATGGGAAATTGGTCAAAAGGGTATGGTTAGAGGTTAGATAGTTTGTAAATCTTCTAATGTTATTTCATCTTTATATCCCGTTTTCTTTTTTTCAAAACTTGATTATATTGCAAATGAAGTATAATTAACCAATTACTATGACCCTGGCCTTTGAAATCGGCTAAAGGCTCGCCAACATTACTTTCCTTATAAAAAGTAAGTCAAGGAAATGCTAAGCTATGGGCTGTATTTATTTTTATTTCATTTTATTTATATATTTGTGATCATGCACTAAAATGCAACAGCTAGTTTAAGTAAACTAAATGCAAAATTTACCATCCGAACTGCATGCATCATGGGAGTCAATCCATTGCTGTCTGCAAAGTTTGGGTTGGCTCCTTTAAGAAGCATATATTTAGCCAATCCAAAGTCATAGTTTCTAATGGCAAATATAAGTGGGCTGGTGAGGTCCTTGCTTCGTGTGTCAAAATAATCAGGTTGTTCACATGAAACTGAGGCTCCAAACAACAAGGGGTCAGGAAGTGGATGGTCATATAGTGTATCCAGGCTGACCTTTCCAAGGTCAATCAACACATCCAGCCATTCCCTGTTTTAAAAAAATTTAAATTTAAACTTAGGAATTGAGAAATGCAAAAATTAAAAACATTTTTTAGTTAAAACAAGCAACATTTTTTTAATGTTAAAATATAATAGGAAATTTTATTAAGATAGGTAAAGGGGAAAAAAATGATATCTGAAATTCTAAAACTGAGAAATATTTTTAAAAAATATAACATACTTGACTTCATCCACTTTAAATTTGTCTGACACCCAGTTATAATCCCACATGAAAGCAGACATTATGTCACGGTTTCTGGTGTCTTTGACTCTGGCATCAAACTTCAGGTCATTGGCTACAAATGGATTCAAGTTAAACTATCAATACATTTGCTTGTCGTTACCAACACACTTTACATACCAAGTAAAACATGGTTATAAAAAAAAAATTAATTCCTTTTAAAACAGATGTGCATTCGGTTTGCGTAAAATGTTCTTATGAACAAAGCTTAGTATTAAAGAATGTATGAGACAATAAAAGACTTACTTATAAGGAATTTAGCAAGAGCAACAGACTGGTGTTTGAGAGCGGCATACATCAGTGGTGTACACCCCCGCTTATCTTTCTCTGCTAACATTATTCTTTTTTCTAGCAAAGCTCCTGCCACCTGAATAACAACAAGATTATAGCATTATATCATCTTTTCCCGTTCATGCTAAAAAAACATGGGATAGGTGAAGTAGAGTTCACCCATTTCAGTGACTTCAGAATACTGGAGGATAGTGTGGTTAGCATTATGACCAGCCAAATTTGTTTCCCCAATGTAAGTCAGGCACTCATCAGAGCTGGGTAGACTTGGGGTCAACCCAAAAAACTGAGCCCAGGATCCAAACTTAAGACTTTTGGGTTAGCAGTTGTGAGCTCTACCATTAGACCCTGCCATCCCACAGCATTATATATATTAGATTGTTTCGGTCACATTTTGTATTCTAATTATTCCATCTCCCAAGTGCTGCTAATAATAAAATGTAACTTATGTAATTAGAATGACTAATTGAGTATGTGCTAGGAAAAATTTTGATGGATGTGGTACTAGCAGAATTAATGGAGATCTGCAATAGGAACCAATAGTTCTGTCTGGAGGTGGTTTGTAAGAGAAAAGTTAGGATTTATTTCCTAAACTGGCATTATTTCTGTTGTTAATGTTCATTAAATTGTAATTAAGATGCTCTAAAAAAAATTAAGTGAACAAATTACCTTTATCTGTAGATCAGGATCATGTCTGCTTGTCTTATAAGCCAAAACATGAAACAGGTTCTGTCCTTCTTTATTCTTAGCATGGAGCCTGCTGACATCTGGAATTCTGCGCAGGAGCCGCAGGGCCAAGTAAAACTTGCTCAGGTTCAACGCAGACTAGGAATAAATTTAAAAAATTCAATTCGCTCATCAATCCAAAAAAAAAAAACAATAAACGATGCACATTGTTCACAAAACAAAAAACGTGTCCATTGCAAGTCAAGATGGTTCTTACCTCTACAGCTTCCATAGGCATGCCCAAAGCATCAAGCAGCATGTGAGCAACACCTGTTAAATCTTTTTTCACTGCACCCTGTAACATTGAGTCCATGTTTTAACACACTTTCAAAACAAGTTTTAGTATAACTAATAATATAGTTGTGTGAAGATTTGGAATGTACCTTAAATTATACTTTCATTAGGTAATTTCTTTGAGTTGTCAACATTGTTTTAACACACTCATCAAAACAAGTTTAAGTAAAGCTAATAATGCAGTTAGATCATGTTTAGGAAATGTACCTCAAATATAGTCATGCTTTCACCAGGAATATCTTTGGGTTGCCTACTCTGCCATTGTTTCTTGGGACGCCAAGTCAGGACTGGTCTCTTCTTTTTCTTCTTCTCTTCTTCTGTCTCTTTTTTCACCTCCTCTTTCCTGGGTAGACTTATCACTATTGGGAAGGACAGGCTTGCATTGCGCTGCATCAGCATGATGGCACAACTAACAGCAAGAAAAAAAATTAATTGTAGAGTTTCTAGTGGAAATGTTAAAAACTTTTTAAGAATTAAAAACAAAATGATTTTTAAATGACATTACCTATCAAATCCTCCATAAATTGCCATGTTAAGAGGTGTGTTACCCCTGTATTCTTTGGCTTCAATGTTGGCCCCTCTCTAGAATAAAAAGTAAAATTGAAATTTCAACATCTACTATAAAAAAAAAGCATTTTCATTTTGATGCTTGTTATCAGGCTTCAGTTAACTTGAAAAACAATTAATTAGCTAATTAATTAGCCAAATTATGTTTAAGATTTAGCAACAAATAATTGTTTTAAAATAATGAGTTAAGATATTTCAGATTCCTCTACCCTGGGTCAATACCCCACAAGGGTCAATAATTTAAGTGCGGCAGTAATAATTACCTGCAGCAAATGCATGCAGCAGATGGTAGCACCAGAGCTGGCAGCATACAAGAGAGGAGTGAACTTGTGCTCATCAGGCTCATCCACCTTCTGGTCTCTCATCACACTGGTCAGCAGGCTACACAGCTCAATAGGGTCAATGCTGAAAGTAGCACAATATTGGTCAACGCTGAGAGTAGCACAATATTGGTCAACGTTGAAAGTAACACAAGATTGGTCAATGATGAAAGTAGCACAATTTTAGTCAACAAGCTTCACTGGTCTAGTCAACATTGAAAGCAACACAAGATTAGACAGATTTCATGAGGTCTTGTTTCATTTTTAGTCATACAATAAGTTTTTAAAGATGATTACTTTCAAATGGCGTACAAGGGTTACTGAAGTAAACTATATGTTTGTTACTGCAAATGTATTTGGTTTTCTAATTTAAACAAGTTCAAAAATTGTAATGATTAATTTATTATTAATCTCAAATTACATTAATGTGATGACAAGTTATATGTCATAGGGGTCAAGCAGAAGAAAGCAGAAACAGAGCATAGAGTAGTCAGTTAGACCAATAGAATTGCAGGAGATGACAGGTCAGATGACCACTGAAGCGTGGGTCAGCAGTTAGATATAGGTAGTGCTAGAGAAAAGATAAAGAGAGAGTCGAAAAAGTAGACAGTGTTAGAGTTGGTCACGGGAGCGTGTAGGGAGAAGTGTTAGTTGCATTTAGATAGTATTAGTAGAAGCCGAGTGTTAGTTGTAAATAGATTTAAATAAAGAACAATATTTTATTATCTTGAATTGGACTTTTTTGATTCCACACACTGTACCAGGCATATATAAGAAGAAGTGATCCCCGGAGAAAAAATAAATATCCTATGCTTTTGACGGAACATAAGTGATATTTAACTTTCTCAAACCCGATATCACAATAAATGATACATTTTAGTGAATGGCTCATTTTTTTTTTAAATTTTTGCTAATAAATAACAGTTATAATTACCCTGTTTTCTGTAATGCTAAATGAAGTGGCATCATTTGATGCTTATTCTTGGCAAAAACATTAGCACCACGATCAAGGAGGAACTCCTCTAAACTTGTGGAAGTGTCGGAGTGGCCTTTGTTAAACCTGACAGCAAGGTGGAGGGGAGTATCGCCCTCACTGTCTGTGCTGTTGATGTTAGCCCCAGCCTGAAGCAAAGCCTGGATCATGGCAATAGTTTCATCTTCTCGGGCTATGGTGAAAAATAAACACATTTTTAAATTACCTGACAACTAAATAAAGTCATTAGTTTGCGTCAAAGTTATTGATCTTACCTCTGTTAGTGACCATAATGTGAACTGGCGTGCGCAAGTTGTCTGACCTACTACTTTGTACATCAGCTTTGTACTGAATCAAAAGTCGCATAATTTCAATTGCACCACGCCTGGGGGTAAAAAAAAAATAATTTTTACACTATTTAAAAAAAAAACACTTATGTTCTTTGAAAAAAAAAATAATCATGTACACAAGCAATTGAAAAACTAAAAGCATAAGCTGAATTTAAATAGAAAAAGCACTCACTCTGCTGCCAATACAAGTGGTGTGACTTGGAAGTTGGGTCCTTTGATCAACACATTGGGATCAGCTCCACCTTCAAGCTAAACAAGATCAATTGACAAAATTTTACATGAATTTTAAGGCAATAGATAATCTAGACATCAAATTATAAATAAATGAAATTCTTTTGGAGGAGAGAGTAGGGTAGGCCTATTTCCATAGAAATATTAATTAATGAGCTGTTGTGACAGCCTATATGCCAGTAAGCTAACAGGCTAGCCTAATGCTGCAATAAGCTTCACCTTTTCATAATAAGGTGAGCTTTGAAAAGCCTAAATGAATAAAATAGAAAATAGCAGTTCAGCAAAACTGATGTGTGAAAAATAATTAACAGAATTGCTTCATTGTCTACAATGACATTAAATCCAACAAGATTAGCTAACGAGCAGTGTTGAAAAGAAAATTTTAAGCCTGGATTAAAAATTATTAACACAAAACTTAAAATATGATTAGCCCTCACCAGTGACTTGACAATGGTTTCTCTGGAGCTCTCCACGGCCAACACCAAAGGTGTCTTGTCCTGCAGGTCTCGTAGATTGGTGTTGGGGGAATATTTGAGGAGCAGCTTGATACCTTGTCCAATCTCTGCTTCACCTTTCTCAGAGGCAGCATTCACCATAAAGTGTAAAGATGAACTTTGACCTGCACAGTACACATTATTTAATTTTTACTCAAAACATCAAACCTAGCCTTACAAGTCATCAAAGGATAAATGGTTTATATCATTCCTTTTAAAACAAAAGTTTCAAATGGTATAGTTAAAAAAATTTGTTAAATTAAAACAATAGCATTACCTTCTGGAGCATAGTGTAACTCTACTTCATCTGGCATATTCTTGGGACCAACAACAGCATTAACATCTGATCCTGTCCATTCAAGTAATCCTTCAATAAATTTTCTTGCGTTAAGAACTTTTTGGACAGCGTCCTTTTTAGTTGCCTTGAAAAAAATGAACATAATTAATTCTTAAACAATTTAAACAATCTTTTTTAAAGATTTCATATGTAACTGAGAATAAGTTTTGGATTAATTATACATCGATGAAAAAGATTTTACCTGGAAATTTTTGTAAACAAAGCAGGCTCTTAACAGAGGCGTGAAGCCTAAGAAATCCCTGTCTTGTGCCATTTTCTTCAAAACTTCCTGTTGTGAAAGTAAAATAGGAGCTGGTTTTTCTACTGCTGCCTCTGGGTTGCTGCTTGTGTCATGTTTAACCTCAGTGGTGCTGTCGCCACCATTAAGATTGTTCTCACTGTGCCCTTTATCATCTGTAAGAATCGTTCATTTGAAGTTTTCAAGAGAAAAGGAATAAAACACTTTATTTATCCACAGTGTACATACATAGCAGGTTTAGAGTCTTTTTGTATGTTTACAGGTGTGGACATCCTATGAAGAGTTTGGGTTAGAAATTGTGTACTCGATAACTAGACATGCCAACCCATTTTTCTAACCAAAAAAAAAATATTTTCTCTAGTCAAAACTGACCTGCTGGTTTTTTGTCAGAAGAATCAACCTCCATAGGAGTTTCCTCTTTTTTCTCCTCACTGGGAATATCAGCCACATTCACTTTTCCATTCTGCTTAAGACTTTCTGTTGGCTTCTGATTTGACTCTACCGGCTTCTAAAAAAAAAGGTGGCACTAATTACTAGAGATTTTTTTTGTTTGGCAAGTATATAGCTTAAACTGCATAATATTTTTGAATTAAAAAAAAAAAACACTAGTAGGGCAATACAGTTGTATTTTTCTGGTACCAATAGTTGTTTTTCATTCTCGATTCAAAAAGAACTTTTGGAAGAACCCTTTAGCATTACGAATAAAAATAAAATGTTTAAATTAGCTCTAAAACATCATACTGATTATTCCATATTGAGATGTGGTAACAGGTAATAAAGTAACTTACATGCTCAGCAAGGATTTTTAGCATAGGTGTGAGATCTGTTGTGCAGCACTGTTCAGCCATAAGGTGTAGAACAGTTTTCTCATCATTATTTTTATCAGGAGACACAGTGCCACCTTTCTCTACTAAAAATTTGACTAGTTCAACATTCACCTGCAAAAAAAACCCCATAAAAAACAATGAGTCATTTATGGCCTAACAAAAAAAAAGGGTAGACATGTCAATTTTAAAACAGACTAAATTTTTATTTTTTAAATGTTCATTTTCAAACAAAAATTTTAATTGAAAGCCAAAAAAAAAAAATCAACCTGTTCAATAGCCAACATAATAGGTGTTTTCCCATCATTAGTCCTCAGGGTTGGGTCACACTTGGCTGAAATAAGCAGCTCTGCTATTTTTACACTGATCTGCATGGCTTCTGGTGAGACCTCTGGATTCTGTTATGGCATTGTAAAACTTATTAAATCTACCCACTTCAAAAATGTTAACAATAGAATTATACATAATAATAATGCTTTTGGCTTTCTTTTTTTCAGTATTTTAATTGAATTCTTACCTTATGGACTTCATTTTTTTTTAAAATGGCTCTATCCTTCATGTTACACACATTGAATAAATGAAGTTCACCAAAACTGACTACTGCACAACGCAACATGTACTTACCCATTGAGTGCCCAGTATCTTTATGTTATTGGCTGCCAGATGATGAAGCTGAAAATATTTGACAATGAAATTAGCAATCCGATGTTTAAGTGTGAATTCTGCTTTTCAAATAATGCCAGATACAGCAGAAATTTCAGAGGAAGAAAACTTACAGCATTGAACCCATTAACATCTCTGATGGTAGGATCAGCTTTATATACATTGATCAAGTTTGTGATTTGTGAGTCTAAGCCAGGAACTAGGCGACTCCTGCAGGCAATACTTGCCAAGGTCATGCCTGGAATCAGAAATATTTGAAAATTTATAATATTTTCATTACAAATTTCAATGTGCTGCTATTGTAAAATGTGTTATTCTGTGTTAACATGTTGAGTGTAAATGAGGCACAAGACGTAAAAACAAATAATGTGAGAGAGGTAAAAAAAACTAATCCGTCACTAATACACATTTATTTAACATGTAAATAAAAGAAACTGTTAGCTACTAATTAGTGTATTGAATAAATGACGGACAAAGCCAGAATAATTACCACTGTCTGTTTTGAAATTAATATCCACTCCCTTATGGTTAAACAACATCTCCACTAGACCATGATTACCCTTGAGGAAGGCAATGTTTATTGGAGTAGTCTGTAAACAAAAATGGTTACAAAATAAAAATGTCCATTCAGGTAGAATTATCAGCTGTTTCAGATGTAAAAGACGAAAGAGATAATAAAATGCCATTTAAAATAATTTAATCTTTAATTAAATCACTCAATTACTTTTTGTTTTAATCAAATGAAATGATGTTAATCTGAGTATTACGACATACCTGCCAATCATTAGGCTGATCTGGTTTGGCACCTGCGTCCTTAATGAGCAGCTTAAGACAAAAATACCAGCCATAAGCTGCAGCATAATGTACAAGGGAATTGTTGGATGAATCTACACGGTTGGGGTCAGCACCCAGGTACAAGAGGTAGGATGCCACATTAGTGCTGCCATTGATGATGGCGTGAGTCAGAGCTGAACGTTTTATCCTATCTGTTTGAGAAAAATACAAAATTAATGTTACTTACATTATTTTTTGGAGCAAAATATTCAAAATTTTTCTTCAAGTTTCTTATTGTAGCTGCACTGATAAATTAATACAACTATATTAAAGGCAAAGGCTTTGAGATTGTTAGGTTTAATGCTATCTTTATTAGCTAGCTATACAAATATTGGCGACCCAACGTGTCTTGGGCACAAAATGGAAAAGATTATACAAGTATCAGTATAACTAATCAAAGAGTTCTTTAAAAAAAATGTAAGTAAATCTGGCAAAAGCAATTAATGTTGATTGAATTTTTCTTAAAAATTGAATAGCTTACCTAACATTTCAACATTAGCACCATTTTGCACCAGTAATCTAGCTATATTTAGATCTCCTCTTTGTGCTGCTATCATCAAAGGTGTAATTCTGTGTTTACTAGCAGAGAGAGGTTTATTCACATCTGCTCCATTTTTTATAAGGGTGCGAACAGCATCCTAAAAATAAAAGTTTAACATGAAGATTTCAAGCAAAAAAAAAAGTATTTAGTACTAATTAGTAATTGATTTAATATATCATACCAATTGTCCTTCTTCAACAGCCATGTGCAATGGACAATAAGAAAAACGATTTGGTCTATTCACCATTCCAATGCCCCATTTTTCATTTATAACTGCATCTACTGCAAGCAAAACAAAATTATGAAATGTTATTTTTCACAAGAAAGATGAGACGAAAAACCAAAACTACGCACATCATTTTAAAAATCTAACCACGGAAATTATCAAAGAATACTGACCCTCAGATTTGGCATGTTTAACAAGGACATCAATATTTTTGGCTCGTCCACTTCTGCTAGCGTAATGGATTGGTAAGTTGCCACTATTATCTGTCTCATTGACACTTGCATTTCTGTATTGAAAATTTTTTTTTTAAATCTTATTAAAAAAAGGTCTAATGAGGGGGGAAAAAATTTGCAGTATTTTGTTTTGTATATTTACCGTTTGATTAGAAACTCCAATGGGCCTGTGCCTTCACACGCTGCAGCAAAGTGAACAGGTCTGGCATTTGATTTTGTCTGGATGTTAACATCAGGTTCAATTGACAACAGACGTGTTATATATTTTACATTGGGGTTGATCGCAGCACAGTGCAATGGAGTAATCTAAGGGGAGAAATTTAATTTATGAGATTATTTTCATTGTATGAAGTGACAATAAATTATAACTAAAATAAATTTACAGTATACACATTTTTAAAAAATATATATTGATCAAAAACAATAAAATGTCAAGCACAGTTAACGGTGGCCTTACGCTCCACAAGGAGTAAAAAGGATTACGTCAAGTAGGTCAGTTACTGGGGATGGTTGGATTATTAGCTCAGAAGGAGAACAGACATTGTTATGATGTATGTTTCAGTAGATATTAACTTGAGTGCAGGTTGGTGCGAAGAGCATAGTGAACACATTGGTATGATGACACAATTGAAAGTTAGTGACTTATTTGTGTAGAAACTTGGTTGCTATGAGTTTGTGTGTGAGTTAGTCTAATCTTGATCGTTGGTGTGAAAGGACGTGTGCTGGCTGATATGACTGAAGTTGGGATATAGATATATGTAGATGCAAGAATAAAGATTCGTATAAGGAGTATTTAGTTCGTCTTATCTCTGAGCATCATATATTCGTCTGAACGTGAGATAGCCTTATTGGTTCTTAAGGTTGGAACCTCTCTACATGGTAGTGGAGATGAATTAAAATGGTATTTGACCAAATCAAGTGACTCAAACCCTCTCGCACTAAGCAAAGCGTAACAGACATGAGACATAAAAATTAATGTGAGAGAAGAGGAGACAATTTTTTTACTTACAGAGTCATTAGAAAAAGGCTTCTTCCGTACAGATGCTGCTAAAATAATATCTCTAAGGTCTTCTTTCTCATAACTTAGAACCTAAAATACAGTTATACATTTTATTCAGAATATTTTTTTAATTCTTTCTCATAACTTAGAACCTAAAATACAGTGTATACATTTTATTCAGAATATTTTTTTTATTTAAACTTTGAGTGAAGAAAAAGTTGTTATCATTGTGTGTGTTGTCTTAATACAAGTATTTAATTTTTTAATTGAGCTAATTGCAGTGAATTGATAAAAAAATTAACTTCTAAAAACATTTCTAGAAATATTTTAAAAATATAAGTAAGTATTGAGCATTTAAGGTACCTCTTTGTGAAGGAAGTTAAAGCCGAAGCCTCCAAGTCTTTCTGCCTCAGACACATACTTAGCAGCCAAAGCTAGATTACCTCTGCTTACTGCAATACTAATTGCATCAATAACGGCATGGAGCTAGAAAAACAAAAAGATTAATAATTTTATTTATAACCAAAACTGATAATGATTAATCTTATTTAACATGCAGAACAGTGAAGTTATATTTTTTAATTAGTAGAAACAAAATTCTAAAACTTAAGCTTTTGCATTTATTTAATTTCAACTCTTTTCAGGACTAAGAACATAGTAGTTAACACACACAATATGTACACCCTGTAGTAAGAAAACTGATATGCTCAATTTAAAAAAAAAAATTTAAGAAGTATTCCATCAAAATAACAGGAGTATGCTGGGCTTAAATGTGCTGGCTTAAATTACAATTAAGTTTGGTGATTACATTCAATTTTATATTAACTTAATTCCACATCTGATGATTCAAACTACTCAAACCAAAGAAACAAAAATGATTTTATTTTTTTTCACCTCGTCATCCCTTGTAGTTTTGTTGGCAGCTGAGAGTGACAGAATAAATGTTTCCATAGTCTCAACAGGGACACCAGTCTTCATCCAGTGTTGTATAACTGATTCCTTATCTATAGATTCTTCATTTTCTTCCTAATTAAAAAAGTGAAATAAAATGAAAAAAATCTTCAAAAATATTTATTTTGACAACCAACTTATTTTTTAGAGCTTAATTTCTTACCATTAAAAATGCATTGTTTCCTTCTTTGTATCCTCTGCTTACTTTTAAAGTTCTTACTGACCGTATCCCAAGAAACGCTGGATTGTAACTAGAAAAAATAAAAATGGTTTATGAAAGTGCAATGAGAAGATAACCAAAAAGAAGGATTATGATTGTCTCATGAATAATGGCATAAATTGTGGTTTAGTCATCTTCTTACTACAACTGTGACTTTACTATATTGTTACTTTTTTAGAAAAATATATATTCAGCAATCTTTTAAATAAATTTAGTAAATAGAAAGATACAAACCAATTTTATTATAGTTTATAAAGTTTCATTTAAAAAATTAAGTATAAAGCAAATTAACTTTGTAAATCAAAAGAACTAGGTTTAACTTTTTTCAAAAATATAATGACTTTTTTTAAACACTTTAGAAATTATTACAACAAAAATAAATTAATTAAAAAAAGCTATACATACACGCCAGTGTCCATCTCTGTAATTATAGGAGCTGGTGGATTTTTCCTATTTTTCTTTGACTTCTGTTCACTGTCAAAAATTTCACTAACCAAAGCCTTAACCATCTCATTCCTGCCCTGTTCACCAGCTAGATCAAGGGCATTTCGTGCGTCAAAAGCTGAGCGACTGATCTCGAACTAGACATTTTAGAGAAAATTTGTCAACTTTTAACTTCTAATGTAGAAAAAACACAAACATTTTAAAATACTCTTAAAATAGGATAAAACTAAATCACAAAAATATTCTGTTTTGATACACAAATAGTGCTGCATATATATTCCCTTCATCTAACTTGAGCTTTAAAAATGCTCCTTGAAATTAATATGTTAGTAAATTACTTTAATATATCAACAATCCAGATTTTAGATGAAAAACCCTGCAGTTTTGTTTATTTTTGGATGTTTACTTGTAAAAAAAAAAATAGGCTGTTGTTTGCATATTAATTATTGTTTAATGCTACAAATAGCATTCATCAATTATGAAAATAGAATTCCAATGTTTTAAGCACACTTTTTGTTGGTGCTCACACGTTGTTGATGCCCAACATCTCAGACTATATTTTGCAAACCCACAACAAATGTTATATCTATATATATAATTTTCTTCATGGGGACCATGCGAGACACCACGTAAACGCACGCCGTTACTCCCCCGCTCTCTAGGCATATAGATACCACCCCCACCACCACCGTTCTGGTGAGCTAAGGTTCACCCCGAATGTTTACAATCATAGAGCCTTGTCGAATTAGTAATGGCTATTAGAGGCAGATAATTTAGCTTTTAAACGATTTGAAACTAAGGAGAGGTAAGGAGTTCTGCTTAATCTGTTCATTGTCGTCTGTCGTAAACTGTCATCACGGAAAGCTGCTTTCACAGTGGCATGGTGGGGGTGGGGGTATGGAAGGGAGAGTAGTGTAAAATTCACTAACTAAGAAGTACTGAAAAGTTGAAAATAAAACAAAACAACTAAATAGCGGCGTATGATACGCTGAGGGTCAGCCTGTACATATAAATAGGTCTATGTATACAAAAGTGCCAGCTAAGTCAACAGCTTTGATTTTTTAAAAATCTTACATTTGTAATGCCTTCTGTTTTAGCCAACAACTCCTTTAGGGACTCCAAGTCTCCAGTGTTTATGGCTCTGAAGATAAGCTTTGAAGTCATCAGGGGTGAGACATCTGGAACTTTATCCCTGTCAAAATAAATCCATCATATTACTTATCTTGGTCTCATTTTAAATTTTTATTAAGACTTGTGGGTAATCCTTCACAGACTGTAGAGTGATAACTTAAATATTGTATCACATCACTTACAGAGAAAGTTTACATTAAAATTGTTTTAAGCAACATGCAGTCTTAACTGTGTAAAACATCTCAAGATAACTAACTGTTGTGATTTACAAATTTACAAGCTTAATCACATCAAACATGGTTAAGCAAAGAAAAACATTGCAGCAGTAAATGTTTACTTACTTAGTCTCAAAAAAGGGATCCTTCTCAAGTATTTTTATCTTGGGATTTGGTTTTAAATTTCTGTCTGGACCTTTCTTTTTGTCTCCTCCCTTTCCTTTCTGTTTTGATGATTTACCTTGATGTCTGTCTTTGTCTTTTTACGACAAGATAAAATGGATAAGTTAGTTGTATAAATCTTGACAAACAGTAAAGCATGAAATTAATTTTATTGGTCACAAATATGGCTAAAAACGAATTTAAAATTGAAATCACCTTTGTCTTTTTTCTTCTGAGCTGAAGCTGTAGCTTTACCCTTTCTCCCTGTGAGAAGAATTTTAGATCTTTCATTTGTTGTTCATAATAAAACAACTCATCAAAAATGAAACAAACATATATGCAAAATGATATTACCTTTGGGAGATTTCTTAGAACTACGGCTTCGCCTAGAAGATGACAAGTCAACCTCATCATCATCATCGTCGTCATCTATCAATATAAAATGTAAACCAGATAATTCTTACTCAATTTATCATTTTTATTAAGATGAAACCAAGTCAACATTAAACTATATTAATTTACCTTCTTCTTCACTCTCCTCTAACTCATTCTCCACTTCCTCCAAAGCCTCTTCCTCCACTTCATCAGCAGTAGCTAATCCTTGTTCAACTCGAATAGCTCTGTCTAGAATTTTCTCTGCCCTTCTTTGCTCGCTGCTGGGGAGCTTGTAGCTGTCCTTAGAGATTTTTTCCATCTGTATTTCAGTAAGAACAGTCTCCATCTCTGTGGTGTCGACATAGTCAAACTTGTAGACATCAGGGGGAGAGTCTAAACTCAGCCACTGAATTCTTAGACGTTTGGATTTGCTGTATATATTCTGGGCAGTTCGACAAAGGTAGAATGTGTCTGAATAGAAGAAAAATATGATTAGATAAAATTTATTTAAACATTGGGTTATGGTTAACTTTGTTTTAATAAACAATAATCATTAAACCAAAGTAATTACATTTTCTGTAAGTACTAAGACAAGTAGTTAAGTTAAATCAGTTGTGAGTTAAATAAAATATAAGCAAGCTATACCATGTAGATGGATTTGTTTTGTACAGAACCACAGATTATACATTATTTCATCAGTTTTATATACCAGCAGGCATTTAGCATGAACAAGAAAAAACAATGGATTTAATGTATATACCTTCTGCTCCTCTCACTGCTAAAAATGCACCTTTCTTATACAGGGTGACATTTTCATCTTTCTTTTTCTCTTCTTTTTCAGGTACAAAAGGAATATCCTCTAAAGGTGACTGAAATCTAGAGACTGGAACACGCTGGCGTTTAAGTGGAGTGCGAGGTTCAACAACATCAGATACTCTTGCTTTGCGCTAAAAAAGATATATTGAAAATATTGACAAAGTTGGAAGGTTGAACTTTGAATAGTTGATGACATCTACAAAATATTTGTTCAAATTATAAACCATTTTTAACTAATTACATTTTAATTTTAATAATGTTCAAGCATCAGCAACTTGAACTCTAATGTTTCCAATTTGTAATGAGATATATATTGGTATATTTTTGCAGATAAAAAAAATACCTTTTTTCCTGACGATGAAGCAGGTGGATCAGCAGATAAGTCAGCAGCCTCATTCTCAGGCTTGGCTTCCATATTGGTAAATTTAACTGTCAGTTACAATTGCATAAACCTGAAGAAATATTAAAATAAAAAATTCAATCTTAACCCAAGCCCAAAAGGTATTCAACTAATCATACAAGTCTATTCTAGTTTTTTACAAATAGAATTTCTAAAAATTATCTAGTTGCTGAAGAGAACTACAACAGTATTGTACATTTCTTCATGACAAGCTTAAAAAATCCGTTTAAATAGAATTTCTTTTTTTTTATAACTGATTTATTCTAACAATGCATATTAAGCACTTTTCAATGGTGAAAAATGTGTGTTAGTATTAAGTTACAAATGTTATTTTACAAGAGAAATAAATCTGCATTAACCGGAAAATTGCAAATCTAATAAGTTTTTTTGCTTGTTTTTGTTATGCAAAATTAACATGTCTATTAGGAAGAAGAATGACAGTGATCCATAAAAGTATAAATAACTCTATAGAAGTATAAAAAATCATAAATGTAATGGCATACAAATATTTGATTAGCAAACCAGAGTGAGCTTTTAAACATGAATGTAAAATTTCAACAAGAAGTAAAAGATATGAATTTATGAAATTTAAATTACAAAGTTAACAAATTGAAATCATTTTAGTAGGGTGTCGCCAAAGATTTTAAACTTCATTATTGTTCAAGATTACCTAAACAATTAAAAACTACATTTATTTACCATTAATTTGATACCAATTTTAAATTTAATCGTTAGCCTAGAAAATGATTTGTGAAAAAATGTGTTTGTTTTTAAATGGCTTCGATGATATGACTGATTTTCAGTGATACGGTGGGTTAGTTTTTTTAAGGAGTGTTGTTGTGATGCGATTAACCGTTCACTGCAGGTCAGCAGAAATCTGTCGTCTGTTAGATTTCTCCCAATTCAAATACAAGGCGAGCAAAATTGGAGGGCTTAGTTAGATATTGTCTTGATCAAGTTATTTTTTAAAGATTTTGTTTTTACCCTGCATGATTTTTAAAACATTAATGACATCAGTTTAGTAGAAAGCAAGTTATAATTTTCTATAGTTTAGAATATATGTTCAGAATGTTTAGAACAGTATTAAATAAAGTAATTCACGTTTTGCTTACTCTTATTAAGCATTTTGTTCTGCTCGATGTTCTCATCGATTATACCAAAAAAATGTACTAATGCCAAGTTTTTATCAAACACAAATCGTCCATTGTTAAAACTAGACTGGTATCATTGAATAATTTGCAAAAATAACAATTTTAAGTATATATTTCTGAAATGACCATCAAACATTGTTAAAAAAAATGAATCACAGTATCTTTGTTTTCGGCAGCCATCACCATGACGACAGTAAAAAATTGTAGGTCAAGCAACAAGCTAATTTTATCAAAAAAAGCTCTGGTCTGATGTTTACATAACTTAATGGGATAGCTTTAATAAACCACATTAGTGTGTGATACAATAAGTGTTATTGAAAATCAGTGACTTAAACGAACACAATTTCTTTACTGTCAGTTAAAAAAACAACTGAAAACTTTCCAATTTTATAAGAAAAAGATGGGTGTCAATAAACTTAATTTCTTTTCTCAAATTTCCTTTTTTTTAAAAATAGGAGTTCTACTCATTTCTCATAAACATATTTGTTGTGTTTTTTTTTTGTGTAATAATTCTGCCGGTAGCAAAAAAGCATGCAAAAATGTTAGCAAAACATTCCGGTAAGCTATTTATTGAGAAAATATGAGTTCTGCATTAAGTAAACTTGAAGAGCTGTAATTACAAGGTAATTTTCATGGTGACATACTTTATTAAATAAATATTCATTACGGCCTTGTTCATTTGTAACTGATACACTTTGCAAAGGAATAGGTTAAATGAAAAGGCTGATTCAAGACAGAAATAGAATTACATGCGCATGTTAACAAAACAGCACCTCAGTGACCTTGTTTTTCTTTTGATCTAAATGTTCGTTGTTTAGGCAAATGTGTCATCTTGATCATGGGACAGAAATTATCACGATAAAAACTTAATTATAGATTTAAATAGGCTATTAAAACATTATCTTTTGTAAAAAGATTTTATATCTCACACACTAGATCTCTTTACTAGGTATCTAAATATAAATATACATGAGTTTATCAATAATTTCTGCAGTTTGTAGCATTTGGTGCCATACAATTTGCCTGATCACTGTAGCATAAATTAGAGCCTAACTAATTGGATGTGGCTATTCAGACCCGGTCCTAATAGCCTCAGCCACTAATAGGACCCGGGTGCCTATAGCCATGGCTGCTATTCAGACTGGGCAGCAAGTTTGGTCTATATAGTTACACACTCTATAACCTGTATTAAAATTATACTTTCTATGTTTATTTAATTTTTCTAGTGGATTAGCTCGTATTTTGTTGTTTTATTTTGTTTTTAAAGTTTTGCGGATTTGCTAGTATAAGGTCCTTCTATTTTTAAATACTCTATATTCAGCTCTATAAACAAAATATTTCAATATTGGATAAATAACGTAAGACGTCGTGGCCAAATGGAGAACGTCATTCCTCCAATTCTACGAAGTTACCGGTTCGCAACCTAACTTAACATGGTGTTTCCTTTGTTCCTGATGTATCTTAAACAGTCATTAAGTATTCAACAAAGTCTATAGTACTGTCTCGATAATTGCTTTAAATAGTTTTTTAAAAATTGTTTTATTTCATAGATTCTATATATTTTCTAGATTTAGATTTTTAAACATGCCAATTCTAAATGCCGTTGCTCACATGATCGTCCACTCACATTTTCTTGTCAGTGCGAGAAAAATACAGACTCAGCCTAGCTAGGGCCACTGTGAGTTCACACTGGCTTAAGATATGAATGTGTAGGCATATAGCATACGTCAAAGCAATACCATTGCTATCTGATATTGTCAAGATTTGTCGTCGGTGTCCCCCCCCCATCTTCCCCAACACAGCAAGATGAAAAAATTTTCGGGGACATGGTGAGTTCATGTTATATATTGCTTCTATTATAGCGTACTACCACACATGTGAGATATTAGTGTTCAAGAAAACGGACCTGGGAGCTGTAGACTGTAGCCTATATTCAGCTATTTCACACAATTATTTTTTTTTTGTATTTGGACTCATAGGCCTATAAAATTAAATAACGTTTAACAGAAGAAAAAAATAAAACATTTTTACATGCATGCTCAACATTCGCTCGAGACGTTCATACCATAGGGGTCATCCATAAATGACGTCACACTCGTAGGGGGGAGGGGGGGTCCGTAATTTTGTGACGATGTGTGATGAGGGGGGGGGGGGGTCAGATGTTGCGACGTCACATTTTTGCATTAGAAAAAAGCAATGTTAGAAAACGAATTTTAGACGTTATTTCGCGTTTTAGATAACTGTTTTAATAAATTGTAATAGTTTAGACAAGATTTTGGAAAAATATCGATGTTTTTAAAAAATTCAACTGCAATTTTGAGGGGGGTTGTAGGTTGAGGTGTGACGTCATTTTAGGGGGGGGGGTCTGGCTTTTTGTGACGTGTGACGGAGGGGGGGGGGAGGTAAAAATCGTCAAAAAAAGCGTGACGTCATTTATGGATGACCCCATAGGCCATATATAAGACCTATAACTATAAGAACTCCCCCTTGCTGTAACGTTTAGAATTACAAGAAAAAAAATTACAACAGAAAAAATATATTCTGCATCTTAAAAGAATTATTGTTTAACTAAATCCTAATAATTTTATTGGCTGGTCCGAATAGCAGCCGATGAGCCGATGCTATAAGGACCCGCTTTTGGGAACAGGGTCCAAATAAATGCAGCCTAACAAATTAACTGACGTGTAAAACCTAGTAACTAGGGCCACTAGCCTAGGTTTAGCAAAACTTGTAACTGGTCACAACTTATTTGAACATTTTATTTTATAGGCCTAATAGTAAAATTGTGATATGAGTTATAGATTCTAGATTTCTATCTAGATTCCTAGAACTAGATTTCTAGATCTAGATCTAGCTAGTTTGCCTGCTAACTTTGTTTTAATTATTATGCCTAGGCCTATTATTTTAGTTTTATATTAATTATTAATCTCGATTTATAATCTAGTCTAATCTAGACGTCTATATATTCTGCAAAAGTGCCTAAAATGCAGCATCCCAAGCAAAGCCATGCCTAGAGTAGAGGACTCACTAGACAGGGGTTTACCTAAATTTTCAGGATTTTTTTTTATTTTCAACATTTTAAGATCTTGAGGGGAACAAATTATAACACATAAGTAAACGCCTTAAGCTACCAGGAATAAAGATATTACGGTGGTTTGACATTTAATAATATTGTAAACACTGGAGTTGAATGCACTTTTAAAAAATTAAAAGTGCACAGTGGTTGAACAACAAAAACAACTACGACGGTCTGAGACCAAAAAATGTCATGTTTCACAGAAAACCATATGCCTGAATTTGCAGAAACCACCATGCAATTGGGATTAAAAGATGTTAATCAAGAAATAACTTAGTTTGATGATTAATAACTTAATAACAGGTGCAGTTACTTGAAGGCCCCAAGGGTACTGCAACATTTATAAGATATGCAATTTTAAATACCGGTGACTGCCTCTTCTATCTATAAGGCCGCCATTTTCGGGCTGTTTATTGAATAAATTTATTGTCAGCAATAAAGTTATAAAATAAATGCTTTAAAATAACTTTTTTTAAAAAGCAGTACACTAAAAAATAATAATCATATTCAGAATAAAAAATAAATACTAACCTAAATTTTTTAAAAGTTACAGAATAAGATAAGTATTTTAAACTACCTAACGCGTTTATGCTAAGTGATAAGGAAGAATTAAATGATAGAACAGCCAAAACATCTAAAAAGATGTCTCCTGCTACCGTACTCTTGTTAATAAACTGTAAAAATGACCGTAGTCCTTGGACGTGGATAATGTTTAGAAAATATAATATGTAATGTAATGTAGTTCCTTCTTATCATACATATACAATATTTTCCCCAAAAGCAGTAGTTTCCTATTGTTTCTGCTATAGTAATCATACTACTAGGATGAGGGGGTGCGGATTTAGTGACGATGCGTGACGAGGTGTATGGGGGAGGGGTAGTAATGTTTTAAACTTAGTTTTAGCTATACATTTTTAGCTATAGAAATATATCAGTAAACGCAATTTTTACTAAGCAGAGTGGTTGTAGGCCTATATTTATTTTTAAAAGAAATCACTTTTTTTTTTAAAATTTGAATTTTGAGAGAGAGGGGGTTAACGTGGGACGTCATTTTATGGGGTATGTCTGGCTTTTTGTGATAATGTGTGATAATGGGCAGATAATAAAAAGTTATAAAACGTGACTTTTTGTGGATGACCCTATGTTATTTACATGCTCCAGTTTTATGGCATTTTGAGTAAACTGCTGGGTCCCTTTCCATTTAACATCTTCTTTTATTAGAACACAAGCAGTTTACTGGCGAATGTTTTGGTGTCGGTCTAGCGACTTCGGCATGGTGACAACCCCCTCTTTATCACAATCAACGTCACTTACAGTTCAATGTTCACGACGATGAATCAAGAGGCCAAAACATTCGCATTTATAGTCTGGACGTATATTCCGTGGCAGGCGCAGATAATAAGTCGGGTGATCACAAAATCGAGAGTTGTTTTCATCCAGCTTTGTCTGTTTTTCGCAAGCTTTAGGGGTGGCTAGTTCCATGCAGGTAAACGTGTGGGTTAAATTAACTCTTGTTATATTAAGTTCAACTATAGGAAAAGCAGAATTCCTCATTAAAATTAGCTAGCAACCATTTTGATGTTGTCATCCCAATGTATTACGCAGTCCCAGTGTTTCTCTCAGACACTTTTCTCCTGGAGACTCTTGAAATTTCCGGGAAGGGGGGGGGGCGAATGAAATGGTTATAGTAAAGTATATTATTTTCTATGCTTAATTTCTATTTCGTGCGGGAGGTGTGTGTGGCAGAATCAGCTGGTTATAGTATATATTTTCTATATTTGATTCCCGCCCCCCCCCCCCCCCCAGATAATGAAAGAAACTGCCCTCGCCTTGTGATGTTCTTGTCAAGTGGTATACAAATAATTGAAAATATATTTTTGGTAAATAGTTTAATGTTCAATTTTAGACTTAATTTTAAATATAACTATCAAAATTTCTTACGTGAGTCATGTATGTTCAGTTGTTAGGCTACTTGGATCCTATCCTTAAATAATAAATATTATTATAAGAAATAAGAGGGCGTCGTTAAAATCACTGCCGTGCGAACTTTATCTATAGATCGTCCTTTAAGAACATAACATAAGCATGCGGGGAGAGGTCTATTACATTTGCGGGGGATCCATAAATTTGACTCATCTTTAATGCCGAGATGATTCAAATAAAAAAATGAAGTAAAACCTTAATTTTATTTTTTTGTGTATATTAGGGGGAGGGGAGTAATGGGAATATTTGCTTAATTAGACAACATTAATGTTTGTGTAACAAACTCCGGTTTTTGAGAATGTCCATTTATAAAGTCATTTTTAAAGCTTTTTTTTTTAAATTCCTCTTCGTCGTCATCTTTCGCTACAAAAAGTCAAACATCCCACCTCCCAAAAACGTATTTTTGCCTAAATACGCAATTTTTCTAAAAAAAAAATATTTGTTGGGTTAATTCCCTTGAGATGATTTTGCGGGAACTATCACTAATCACAGTTATCTTATTTTTATGCTGAAATTTGTTGCAAATCTAGATCTAGATCTAGAATATGTATGCTAGTGCATTACGAATTTTTCATTGCCCTTTAAAAACCATTAAACATGTTAAAGTTTATTATAAAATAGTATTTAGTAAGATACAAAAGATGGGGTTAAACATTGTCTTACTTAAGATTCTACCGTCTTTATCATTATATATTATATAGGGGCCTATAGTTTGTTGTCTAAGTAGATGTTAATAGTATTTACACTCAGTGGCGTAGCGAGGTCGGGTGTCACCCGGTGCGGCACTTAATGGTGTCACCCCCCCCCCAGAGGCATAGAGACCCTTCCCAGGGACAAACTTTCAAGTTTTCGATTTGCACCCCCCCCCCCCCCCACTCAAACTTTCGATTTGCACCCCCCCCCCCTCGAGTTTTCGATTTGCACCCCCCCCCCTCAAACTTTCGATTTGCACCCCCCCCCCTCGAGTTTTTCTCTATATGTTTTGCTATTTTTTGCCTTGGTGTCACCCCCCTAAATGGTGTCACCCGGTGCGGTCCGCACCCCCCGCCCCCCCCCCCTCGCTACGCCCCTGTTTACACTACAATAGCTTGCAGAGTATATAGAAAATATATACTTATAATGGTTTATTAAATTGGTCTTTACTTAATTGAATTTTTTTTTTAACTTTTTATTTAACTTTTAATTTGTTCAACAAAGTAATCGGCTGTAGGCCTTGTACTTTGTATACAAGACATGGTAATTTGAGAAATATTATTAGTAATTTAAATGGCATCGTATGTAAGTTGTCATGATATAGAGAGCGTGCTGGCCGTGATCGTATAGTGGTTAGTACTTCGCGTTGTGGCCGCGACAACCCAGGTTCGAATCCTGGTCACGGCATACTGGTTGTGTTGTCTCGTACTGCCAAGCTCTCAATTTATTTTCATGCTTGAAGAAAAATATTTTTAATTTAATTGTTTAGTACGTGGTTTATAATAAAAAGCTTTTAAATGTGTTCAAATAGAAAATTAACCTTTTTTTTTTACTTTCTTTTATTTACAGTATATAGAAAGTATTGTAATCCTGCGCAATTAAATAAAATTGTAACAGTTTTTGACCCCCCCCCCCCCCCCGAAAAGATGTCTGAAAGAAACACTGCTAGGCTGGCCATAAACATGGTTGTGCTCTCGTTATAGGCCTACACATACTACAATGGTTCTATAAAACCTTAAATGTGTATTCTTGTGTGGATCTAGATATCGTGGCAACAGCCATTGCTAAACATCTTCTGTTTAAACAAGAGGCAAAAAACACGAGGCTGACCCAGTAGAAATCTAGATCTAGCTTTTCTTAGTGAGGTAGTTGAGAAGCGAGGGAGTTAAATGATCTGGTTTTGTCTTCATTGTATTGAAAAAAAGTCACAGAAATAAAACACACTCAATTCGGATGGGTACCTAACTCACGTTAGGGAAAGAAAGGCGGCTGGGCATAGTGCTGACCACACTATCTCTTCATATGCCGAGGTCACAGAAACAAGTGAACTCTGCTTCACTTGCCCTATAGACCATCAGGTTTGAAAGGGAAACTTTACTTCACCCATTTAAAAAAAACAACAAAGCACTAAGTTTTGGGTTAGTAATGTCATTGAAATACCGAAATCAGCCAAGTGATCTGTAAAAAAGACGTTACTTCGGTTACTGGCATGGCAAAAAATGATCTGATTACTTTATAAGCCCGATTATATGTTACAGTTTTTTTTAGCAACATTGTTTTTTATTATACAGGTTATTTGACTCAAAGTTGTGTGAGCGCGCTGGCCGTGATCGGGCATACATAAGAAAACTTGGTTTGCCTCTTTTACGGGTCAATTTGAGGTCAGATTAGAATAGGTTAGAATAGTCTCGAACTTAGGGGGAGTGCGTGTGTGAGTTGAGTTCACCCTACTGTGTAATAACCCCGGTGTGTTTATGTATTGTAATCCCAAGGTCGAATGCGGGTATAAAAGCGGGAGTGAACGATTGTAGGGGGTCAGCGCGGGTTAGTTGGTAGCCGTTAGGACGAGGGCTGTTTTGTTATGTGTAAAGAATTGAGACCGAATAAAAGTATTGAAGTAAACACGAATCGACTCTTGAGTTGAAACCAACCCGAACGTAACAGCCTCTGTAAATTTATTACAAAACAAACGTATGGCAAAATGATAATAATGCAGTTTAATTTGCCGAATTGAATGTGAGCGCGCTGGCCGTGATCGTATAGTGGTTAGTACTTCGCGTTGTGGCCGCGACAACCCAGGTTCGAATCCTGGTCACGGCATACTGGCTGTGATGTCACGCATTGCCAAGCTCACATGTTTTTTGTTTATTTAATTGCTGAGCGAATTTTTTGATTAGCTCATAAATGACGTCAGACTACTGCAGCAGATTTTTTACCCCCCCCCCCCCACGCATTGCCGCACATCGCTACATATAAGGGGTCGTCCATAAATGGCGTCACACTCATAGGGGGAGGTGGGTCCGTAAAATTTTGTGACGGTGTGTGATGAGGTGGTGGTTCAGATGGTGTGACATCACAGTTTTTGCATTATTAAAGAGCACTGATAGAAAACGAGTTTTAGCCGTTATTTTGCGTTTTAGAATACTGTTTTAGTAAATTGTAATATGAATAGATTAAAATACTCTGGAAAATTATCGATGTTTTAAGAAAAATTCAACTGCAATTTTGAGTGGGCTGAGGTTTGACGTCATTTTTTGGAGGGTCTGGCGTTTTGTGACGAGTTGTGACGGGTGGGGGGGGGGGGGGTGTAAATCGTCATAAAAAAGGGGGAAGTCATTAATGGATGAGCCTTAACACTAGACAGTCCCGCTAGAATGGAATCCCTAATTTCCACCTATTTCTCCCTGTGGTATGAATTTTACGTAAAATAACTTTTTTAAAAATCATTTTTG